TCTCAAAAATAAATAAATGTTAAAAAAAATTTTTTTTGTTTAAATAAATAAATAAAAAATAAAAATAATAAAAAAGAAGTATGTGATCTTGACCGAGGTGGAGCAACACAATCATTGTTCAGACAGAAGGCGGGCTTGCTGTTCTAACGACCCTCCCAACTCCAAGAATCTACACCAATGGCAACAGCTATAAACACCCCAGTCCCACCTGATCTCACTTCCTAACTTGACTAATGGTAACTGAACCAACCCACCAAAAACCCACTAGGACTAAACACTAAGATGAATTTAAACGACCAAGGCATAGGATCAAAATATTTATTCCCTCACGCATTTTAGTACCTGGCTACATGACCAAATGCAGGTTCAGAGTATTTCCAAAATAGACCCTGCGCTTCTCTTTTGGCCAGTTGAAAGTATATAGGAAATAGTTACGTAATTTTGTTCAACTCACTTGGAAGACGACCTATGTACATTCTTAAATCAACTGCGTTGATGTGAAAAAGGCCACGGACTGTGACAGATGTTAGGAGCTTAGGAGTTGAGAGCAGGAAGGGAATTTAGAGTTCATTTCATCTGCTCCCATTTCACAGATTAGAAAATACTCAGTGAAGGTTACGGGACTTATCCAAAGTCAAATTCAAAAGAGAAGCCAAACTCTCAAAATTCAGAGCCCAGACATCAATCTACAATACCATGGCAGTAAAACAGAAATCTTCGTAACAAGTTTTATAAATGCGGGAACAGATTCCACACTGAGATTCCACAGTATTTTGCCAGTATTTACAAAATTCTGAATTTAAGCAAACGGCAACTTCAAGTTTACAAAAAACTTCATCATCGAGAAAACACGATTACGGAAGTCAGAACCAACCCCTGTAAATGTATCGGCAGTCATAAAAGGCGCTGTGTTGACTTTCCCTCTCTCCTGGACTGCCAGTACTAAGAAATATATTACAACTCTCTACTTGCTATCTTCCAACTGATTAAAAAACAAAGTTTTGTTTCCCAAATGGACTTTTGCCTTCCCCTGTAATATATCTATTATGCTGAGAGAAAGAAACATTAAGATCCTTTGTCATTCATTAGTTTTGCTATAACAGAGCTTTTTTTTTTTTTCTTTTTTTTTTTTCACTAACACTGATATTCCTAATCATTCCTAGCTCACCCTACTTGGTCACAAATCTAAGTTTCCTTCCTGAGCAACCTCTGATTTTGTTTGGTCTCTCCGGGCCCAAGTGAACTATTTACCATAAAAATACAACTGGCGAATTTTTACAGACCCACATAGTTCAGCAATTGACTATATATATATATATATATATGTATATATATATATATATATAAAACGTTTCAGTTCCATTTTGCTTTCTACTTGGAACTTTGAGTCCTTGAAGTCAGAGCACAGCTTCCACAGACAACCTGACTGGCAAAGAGGAAGGACCACAAATGTAGAACTCCTCATTTCTTCCATGACTATGTGCATGCCAGGCGTCGTGCCGGGCACCAGAGGTGGGAAGACCGGAGGGGTGGCATCTCTTGCAGATGGAAAAAAGGGAGCTCAAACACATCACGCTGCTAAATGACCGTGAGAGCCTAGTGAAAATCTCCCTGTAAAGAGAAAACAGTGTTTTTTCAAAAAAGCCTCTCTCTTTAAATTCATTGACTTTGGGACGGATGTCAAATGGACTGATGACTGAAGGGTTTCCCCACGACACTTCCACCCATCCCCATGTGGTACCGTGAGATGGGCAAGAAAAATGGCGCGCTGGAAAGACCACAAAAATCCCAAGTTTTTAACTTCTATTTGTCGAAACACCATTTAATGCTTTGGGAGGAAATGGATTTCATATTCCCTCCATCCATCTGGAATGTTATGCATCAGAACAATGGGGGACAAACGAATCTATTACGGCACTAAATTGTCCATGGAGGAAAGAAAGACTGTTTTGCCCACCCCATTAGCCTACAATGCAAAGAGACCAATTTACTTTGAGAAAGTAGTTCCAGAAAGTCGAAAACACTGGCTTGGGTATTTACTTATCATCTTCTAACATCGGTTAGCACTACTGAACTTTTCTAGATGAATTTAGTTAAGGTTGTTTTTAATTTGCAAAAGGGACAATTGTAACGACAGTTTCTGAATTTAAAGTTCTCTTAAGGTTGGTGGTCATTGGAAAGAAAAAAAAAAGAGGAAATCCTCTTTCTAATGGTGTGGAAGTTCTCACATAAGTCAGGTGTCAGAACCTTAAAGATGATGTCCTCCCAATGCACGGAAGGAGGAAGGGGAGCACAGAATTGTGGCCTTTCTGACTAAATAAGTAATTGTTTCCCTCTTTTTTAAAAAATATAATTCATTGTCAAGTTGGCTAACATACAGTGTATACAGCGTGCTGTCGGGTCTGGGGATAGATTGCTGTGATTCATCGCTTACATACAACGCCCAGTGCTCATCCCAACAGGTGCCCTCCTCAATGCCCATCACCCATTTTCCCCTCTCCTCCCGAGGACCCCCCGGCCATCAACCCTCAGTTTGTTCTCTGTATTCAAGAGTCTCTTATGTTTGCCTCCCTCTGTTTAAAACTATTTTTCCCCTTCCCTTCCCCCATGGTCTTCTGTTAGGTTTCACATTTTCCTCTTCTTATCCCTACCTTACGCCTCCTCGTAAGTCACAAAACATTTTGATTTATTTACCAGAATTATCAGCTGAATATCTGAATGCTTCCTCAAAGCTGCCACACGCGGTCACTGTTTCTCAGCTGGAAGGACAACATCCTGATATTTGGGATCTCTCCAAGGGTTCAAGGGCATTCTGACCTGTCATGATGACAGCTACTGACATTTTGAGCAGGAGCCAGGGAGGCCGAGTGCTTCACAACAGCCCCTCCCGCAGGGAGAGTTGTCAACCCACATGCCCATGATGCCCTCCTGGAGAAGCACTGGAAGACAATTCAAAGAATCGTACCCAAGACTGTGACAATACTAACATTACAACATGACTTTAGACGACTGAACTGCTTTGGTCACCGCTGAGACCAGGGCGTGAGGTGAGGGATCGCGACTCTCCTTTGGAGGCAGGTTGGGGCTCCTCCTGGTCCCCAGCATGGTCCTCACCAAGCCCTCTACACGGCTCTGTGCAAGCCAGCGTGCGGCCAGGGGCCGTGCCTCGATTCTAAGAGCTGTAAGTTCTGTTTCGCAAAGTGGAGTCAGGATGCACTTCGGGAATCGAGGCCTGGCTGGAAGAAATAGTTTTCACGGAGGCCCAAATTCCTTCGCATTTTAAGTGAACACCAGATGGAGCGCATGGGCCTTTCTCTTTATCACTGTTTATTTTAGACAGTCATTTCAAACAACCGCTTCTGGTGGCAACTCTCCACGGGACATTAAACATAAACACTTCCCCGTCCCTTTAGCAATCTCGACTGTTGTCGGCCCATGTATATTCCTTAGTGCGAATTTTTTCATAAAATGAAACTTTTCTTTTTTAATGTTTATTTTTGAGAGAGACAGAGCATGAGGGTGGAAGGGCAGAGAGAGAGACACACACACACACACACACACACACACACACAGAATTCAAAGCAGGCTCCAGGCTCCGAGCTGTCAGCACAGAGCCCCACGCCGGGCTCGAACTCACAAACAGTGATCATGACGTGAGCCACCCTGGCGCCCCGATAAAATAAAACTTCTTAATATAATGTCCTGAGGAATGTTTCGATGTAGGAGAGTAACCCAGAGAGTACTAGAACCCACTCCAGAAACAGAACTCCTGGGGAGAACACAATCACCCGGGTGTGCCTGGGCCTTGAAGCCACCACAGGGTATTTGAGATACAAACACCTTACGTGCCTTTCAAGGTTGCCTTCAGTCGTGAGGCGAATTCTTGGAGACCAAGTATGCATTTGGGGGTTCTGGGAGCTGCATCCCTGAGGCCCCCCACATAGGCAGAACAGCACCTCTTCAGGCTCCAGCCTTCAGTGCTCCGCAGAGCCTGTGGGAGAGGTGGGAACACACAGCAGACGGCAGGAAGGTCACCAGCCTGGCTGAGGACAAGAAGGAATGGTGGTGAGAACGGCAATGAAATGTCCACCCCACCCCCACCCCAAAGCACTGGTCCCAAGCGGGTCTGAAGGCATACTGGGTCTTTCTACTGGAATACTGGCCCAACAATTGCCATCAAGACTCAAAACTTCTATTTAACCCGTTAACACACCAACACTGATTCATGCAGTTCCATCGACTAAAATTGTGAAGTTACTAGACACCTGCCCCTGCCGCCCCTGTCCCCCCGCCAGAACTGGTCATACAGACAGCTCAGCATTTGTTACCAACTTCACCTCCGTGCCAGTCTCATTGATAGGCTTATACCTAATAGCACCTTTCACCTAGGATTTGAAGTCATTTTACAGACCAAGATTCATCGAGGGAAAAATGTGGTTTTGTCCTTAGGTAGATCAACACGATATGTAAGAACGTGCGTGTGTGTGTTGTCTATCGTCCGTATTACGTATGGATTTCACTCACTCGTTCTCTTGAAAAGAGCAACAATCCACTCCCACCCTCAACTTCAGCCATCACCCTTCCACAATATTTCCATCTCCTTTGCAATCCTAAGTCGATTCTATTTTTTGGTTTCAGTGAAACAGACTGATCCGGACATTTGTCAAGGGCAGGGCGGCCAGTCACGAAAGCCAACAGTGACTTCTCAGTGGTCCAACCGGGAGGTCGTGCACAGGGTCACATCTCTCGATCCCAAAGGCACCACGTCCCTGCTGCATAGGAATATCTTACAAGTGTTAATCCTCACCCCCAGCAAGCAAGCATTAGAGTCATATTGGAGTAGATTTGTCTTAGAACTCTCTCCACCACTCTCTGCCTCCAAAGAAGGCCAAGATTACTGTGTTACCGCCACAGAAAGCTTTCCAAAAATCACCCAAACAAGCACACAGATTTCAGAAGAGCCCTCTAGTTGTGCAGAAGAGTTAATAAAACTGACCATGTAGGATAATGCTGTTTATTAAAAATATATTCAGGGAGAAGGAAGTCAGTGCATTTATGCAATTTTACATACACATCTGTAGTTTGAGGTTCCATTATTCCAACAGTTCATATAAATCACTGTTTCAGGTAAGAGAAAAAAAATGCTTTACACAGGAGATCAGCAATTGGTTATAGGTTTGGTAATATGAGTAGGCTTGTTGTAAAAATAAAACCACCTCTTCCATTAGTAAAGAATGTCTCCTTTATGCAGAACAAGTCTTCAGAGTTAAGAACTTTGCTTGCATTAGCCTGAAGTTCTTGGAAAACAGCCAATCCTCTGTTTTCTAGAAATATAAATGCCATCTTTTGTCTGGATTTTTTTTTTCTTTTGAGGTAACAGAGGAAGGATTTCAGTGATCTGTCACTAGGTCATCCTTCTACTGGGTGTGCCCAACTACTGCAACGTCAAACCGAAGACTCGTACAGAGGCATTTCCGAGAATTAGAAATACAGAGCATGACATTTCCAAACAACGAACGTTCTCATTACAGGAGGGAAAATAAAATGGGTCCAACAACCAAAGCCGAAGTAAAGGAAGTAAATCTTTGCTAATGGAGAAGGAACAAGGGCACCTGGGACCCCATGTAAGGATCTGGTTTGTGAATGCACGCTTATGCCTTGGCCCTGGAAGTCTCCTTTCTCAGTTACACACACTTTCCTGCAGTGTCAGGGACGTCCCCGTTCCCTGAGTTCGTAAGCACGGACAGGAATCGGGAGCATAACCTCCACAGCTGATGAACCAACCAGAGGGAAGACAAACTTACAATTTATTTGCTGGCGATAATCCTTACTGTGTTAAATCAAGGGCTGCATCTAACTTCTGGGATGCAGACGCTGGGGCCTCTCCCTGGGTCTTCCGGTCTTTCTGCACAGGATGCCCCCGGGAAGGAACTCTGGACCAGGAAGCGACTGGTCGGTCAGGTGCTCCACCCCTTGTCATGTCATGTCCCCAACTCACGAGAACCGCCAAATGCAGGAGACAGGGGCTTTAGGGATACTACCTTCTTAACAGAATGCTGAGGTCAAAGAAACTTCTCTGTCACTACAAATGCAGGAACCAGAGCTGAATCACAGGAAGAGAGAAATCTGTATTCTTACAGTGACTAGCTGTGTGAAAGTTTTCTGCTGGGTTCGGCTAAGGCATCTAGAACTCTGTGTCTGTTCCTGATTAGACTACCTAGAACTCACAATTAACTTTTTGGAGGGGCTGGGAAGAGGGAATTACGTTTAATTACCTCTTCCTTCCTTCCTTATTGTGAAATAGTTAAAAAAAAAAAAAAAAAAAAAAGGTGTTCTCATATACAAAAGGAAAAAAAAGACAGATCAGATCAGTAACTGTAAATGACACCACAACATAGTATTAGCTGTGACTAACCTCTGACTCCGTCTCAGCAAAAATTAAAGGGCAGTAAAATCTGTCTCTACCCAACTGTCTATGTGTATAAAGCGTAGTTAGAAATCAGTGCTTGCTGGTAGGATTACTAAGCAAATAAATTTAAGGCAAAATCGGAGTAACAAGCAAATGAAATATACACTTTCTTCCCTACGATGCAGGATTAAGGTCCCTGCAAAGAGAGGTTGCTTTAAAATGGGAAGAGTCTTCCTGCCCCTAATTAACAAAGGGTCCCACACATTAAGGAGTAAGCTAAACAGTAAAAAGCATTCAACAGGTTAACTACCGACTTTGAAACCATCAACCTTCAGAGTTTGAGTCAAAACCATCAAATGTACTGGTTGATGCTGAAATCGACGAGGCCAAATCTGCCAGGGCCACAAGAGATCTGGATAAAACATCAAATACAGATACTTTGGTATGAAACATTGCTTTGTTTACACATGTCGAAAATTTAACAATGAACCCTTTAAAAAATGAGGAAATGCTACGTTCACACAAAAATCCTTGTGCTTAGTTGGTAAAAAGGCATCAGAACAGTTTAAAACCAGGTGGCTCATTCTTGAACACAAATTTCACCTGACTGAACTGCTCGGCTCCTATGCTGTCAATGTCAGAACCGCAGAAACACAACAACTCCCCTTCTCGGACTTCGTGGTAAAGCCGCTCCCTGGTCAGAGCCCCTGCAAGAACCAGGGAAAGACACCCCCTGAGCTCTGTCACCCTCAGTGGGGGGGTCATTGCCCAAGTTCACTGTGACCGCGGGGGGGGGGGGGTTGCTCCCAACAAGGCCATGTAAGTGTAAAATGACAAAATAATCTAAAGAAAAGCAAGCTACTAAGTTTCTCTTCGGTGGAGGGAGGGATGGGAAACAAAGGGGCTTCTATACCAATTAAATCAGACTTTGGAACAGTCTGTGGAACAAGAGAGAATTGATTTCTCAAAGTTCAATAAAAAAAAAATTAGCTCGTCTCTCATTTTCAAAAAGATACATTATGGAAATCCTCTCAAATTTATGCAACAGGCTTAATTATGAACCTTAGGAAGGAAGGAAACTCCTCCCACTTTCCTGCCAGATTTTATGTTCTTCAAGTTGCAGTCACAAATTCTCTCCCTAGTGGTATCAGCCATGATGTGAATCATGGAGATGGGGCGATTCGCTTGCACTGAAATACGGCTACACAATGGAGAGTTATGCATACAGCACAGAACTATAACCGAAAAGGTGAAGCAAACTTTATTTATTTTCAGGTAAAAACATTAACCTGACGGATTATTGCAGATTTGAGAAATCAGCACATGAAACAACTGGACAGAACTTTGCTTACAGGTGCTTGTATCGGTGCCGAGACAAAGGCTGAACTGTTTGTCCCAAGTTAGCCCTGGGAGGAGGGGAAGGGGAGAGAGGAAAAAAGACGACCACGAACAAAAACTTGAAAACAAGGACAAGGGAGAAAAAGCATTCTTGGACTCCAACGGGGAACAAAAACTGCTAATTTTGTTGAAAACGTTACATCAACTCAAAATGCTCTGGTCGTGGAATAAGAAAATACCGGCCAGCCCAAGCTGTGGACTTTTCAAGCTACACAAGAGTGAGCGGGCTTTCCTGGCCTCCCTTCCAGAAGCTGCTGTGGTTGCCAGAATCACCGTGTAAACAGTCCTACCGGGTCACTGGGCAAAGGCCAGCCATACCCTACAGCTATATCAAAACTAAGCTATGAGAAAGGTCTACCGAGCTACAAAGGCGGAATCACACTGACGATATATTTCAGTTCAATGAATTTTAAAATTATATCTTAATTTGAGAGAGAACACGGGACAACGGGAGCCCATGGCTAATGAAGATGTGACAGCCGTGAGTGTCGCACACAAAAGAAACCGTGTGGACCGCGGACAATACATGAACCGGGGAGGAAAATGAGAGGGGAGTGAGATGCACACAGAGCTAACCTACCGAACCGGATTTGTCAAACACACGTGAGCTTTCGTGTCTGTACTTATGTACGAGAGTGGTCTTTGGAGGAAACAAAACTGCAGACTTAGCTAGATGGACACACACAGCCCAGAATTAAACTGCACAGCGACATTTATTGTTTCAGCCTGAAAAACATCCCTTTTTTTTAAATTTCACACAGCAAAGCAAGTTAAAAACTTCACTCATCAAATAAATGATAATTTAAACAAGAACTTGCTAAAGAAACCTCATCACAACAACGTTTTAGGGCCTGATCACTTTAAGTCCATGGGGCCATTAATGAATATCAACCAAGTGTCTCTTGTATAATCTGCAAGCCATTTTTCCTACAACAAGAAGGCGTAACATGTTTCCTTGACTCAGGTGATACATTTAGAAAAGAAATCATGATTTTTTTTTTCTTTTGCTGTAACAGGCAGACACCGCATTTCTCGCTGTGATCAGGAAAGATGGAACGACTGCTGTCCTTCTCTGGCCGCGATCAACAGTTTCTCACGCATGATCTCAATGCTCGAGTAGTCCGGCAACTTAAGATAGTTCACACAAGTCATTACGGAGGGCAGGAAGTCATCCGGGTTTTCTGTTGATTCGAATGTCTTCCGGACAATTGTCAAAGGTGGATTCAAACTCCGGAAGCCTGAGCAGAAGGGGAAGGAAGAAAGACCAAGGGAAGTTAGTAAGTTAACAGGCCGCACACAGCTAACTCCGAGCCAGATGTTTTTTAGCCACAAGAAGAATCCGTCTGGAATCACAAACGTAGCCTTTCTGCGCTGCTACCATCAGGAAACGTCACGCTGCTTGGCTGTACGGTGTTACCACACACGCAAAGTGTTCCTTCTTGCTGGGCAATTACATCTACACACGTGATGTACGTTTAGTGTATGGACCCCAACATCTGCTTTATTTACTGGAAAAAACCACTGTAGTATAAGGAGGCCAACAGCTCCTTCTGCTTTTTGGCTTTTAAAACTGAGTACCAATTTGACTCCTATTAGGACTGACTCACTCCTAGAAAAGTAGACTTTACAATGCATTCTCATCCAAGAGTCTGTAATGTACAGCTGCCCGGAGGATCTGAATTTCACCTAGAAAAGTAGCATTACGTGTTCATTAACAATCCTACTTCAGTGTGTTTAAGATGACCCCTATGAATCTCCCTGCCGGCCGAGAGCTCTCACATATTGCAAAGCCAATGGAAAACTCAAGAAACGTTAGGATACTAGAGTAACGAAAAGGCACTGTTGGGTCAAATGCAGAATATCCTGCTGGTGGTACCGAGGTCTCTGTCCGTCTCTCCCTCCCTCCTTCCCCCCCCCCCCCCCCCGCACACCCCACCACCACAGAACGGTGGCGGCCAGGCGCCTAGGGCACACCCACCTCCAACAGGCAGTCTCGGGCTACCGGTCACGAACTGGAGAAATAACCTCTGCTGCTCGTTATCAAAACTACTGAGAATCTCGAACAGGAACTTCACGGCGCGACTACAACAGAAACAAGTCAGCAAAATCATTTCAGCACGGGACTGTGCACCTTTCAATCACACCGCACCGCACTGCAGACTCTCAGAGCCAGCTGCAGACTACCAAATTTCAATACAACTACCTATGAATTTGCATTAGGACGCATTCGGAAACCAACGTAGTTTTCTGTTGTCACAGCTGGAATTCAAAGGGAATGATTACTGTTGTAACAAACAAGACTTGTCGGGAGTGTACGGGTATTTCCATTTTACCGCCAACAAAAACGGGTAACGGGTTTGACCTGTATCCTCCTCTCTTTCCTCCTCCCTGTTCACTTACACAGAAATACCCGAAAAAGAAATCTTTGAGTCCTAAGGTCTTGATAGAAGTGAGGCCAAAATATCAGAAAGCCTCCTTTAAAACAGGCAGACAAATTTAAAAACGGCACCCCCCTGTTGTTGTTCATAACGTACGTATACACACGCATGCACGCACACACCACCAAATTCTTGACCCTCAAACGAAAGCCCAGCAGATCCGGGTACTCACCTGTCGTGAGTGTAACCGTGGTCCGGCCTGCAGCACTCCATCAGTGTCTTTGCATCCCAAGTGTCTGCTTTACTGCCGCACAGGAGCTGGTCCAGCTGCGTGGTCACCCAACAGAAACAAATTACTAAGGACACGGCTGCATAACTCAGTGAAAACTCACAGGACGTGCTGTTTTGCAGATGCCAGTATAGCACAGGACTAGCGTGTACCAAATCAAAGTATCATTTTCAATACCGCAAGTTCTGCGCAGGGACCTCTCTTTTCGCCAATGTGCTCTTCTACTACAGTTACAGACTCAGCCTCCTCTTCTGGTGCCTTTAAAGGCACCCTGCCCATCTGCAGGGACTGGCTTCTTGAGAAGACTTTAATCGCAAACAAAACATACCTGAGACAAACCTTTGTTTAAGCTTTCCTAACGCTTCTCGTGTCTTTACAGGTTTTAACTCCATAACCTACATCTCGCCAGGGAGATTTCATAAATCCTGTTTTCTAGAAATGCCAGAAGCCAAGACACAGACTAGTGAGCTGGAGAGAGAAGTGGGAGAAAGCTGAACTGAGGCCCAGCCAACGGGCAGCTTCCTCACCTTGTACAGAGGCAGATGGCTGCCAGATGGTCGGCTGGGGCTGCACGGGGACCAGGCAAGCCGTTCCAGGGGGAACAGGAGAAAGCAAGAAGTGCTTGCGTCCCCTTGGAAAATCTAACACCAGTTTCACATTAAGCCATCTTTTCTCTGGTGACCTGCCCCCCTGCAGAAGGACTGCGTGCTTTGAGAAAATGTAATACCTACTACGCGTCACTCGCTGGCAGGTACTCTATGTGTCCTGTTCAGTAAGACAGAGGTTATCCCGATCTTATGGACGAGGCAGTCGGGTCAGACACAACAGCCTAGACAAGGTCATACGGTGAAGCAGGAAGGACCAGAATTCAATTCCAGGAGCAACCCTTGCTGCTTTCAATTCCAGGTGACACTTAGTGCCTCAAAGTGTCAGCTACACCACATGCTCCCGCAAGCAGCAAATCAGAGTGGACGTAAAAATCGTAACTGAGATTGAAATGCTACGTCCAAGTCATTCAAAGGTATCCGGATTCAGCCAGTAATGTGTGTGTAAAGTTATCATTCAAATAGTAAACAAAAAGCATCCCAAACTGGAGAAACCCCATACCTCGCAGACCCTTTCTGTGCCATCTCCCCACTCGAGAGCAGTGTTCCAGATTCTTGTTGCACTTAAGATGGCTGGAAAACTGCACACTCATTTCCCCCACTCTTAACGGTACTTGCAACACTTCCTTAACTCCAAGAACGGACTCCAATCATAAAGCAGGGTCTCACCCAATCCGGGAAGTTTAGGTTAAAAAAAAAAGTGCACTCTCCTCAGCGACCGCAAAGACGCGCACTCCATTCTCCACCGGCCGGCATCCAGGGTCAGGTGACTGACGACGAGGCTGGGCCCACCCAATCTCGCACACAGACCCCACTCCAATACTTCAACTATATTTAATATTTATACAATATAAAATGCTATATTTATATTACATCGCATTACACTTAGTATTTGATACTCTTCTTTGCTCAGAAATGATCTTCTACCTTTACCAGCATCCACCCCTCGGCTCACAAACCCACCTCGCCCCCCAGTTCTCTCCTTTGCAATCCTCTTCGGCCGGATGGCACAGAGACGGCGTGCTACGATTGCTACAGGTACACAGGGAGCAATGGGCAATTTCTTCAGACACAAGCTACTCACTTCTTCCGGGTAGAAGTACTGGAGATGACTGAGTGGGAAGACAGATTCAAATCCATCTCTGAAGGAGTCGAATTGCCTAGAAACGCCTTCATTTAGTGCCCAGAATATAACCAGCTGTAAAAAGAAAGGTCTTTTAAAAACTGTGACAAGATTTCCTATCTCTTTCCTACCCAATACACGGCAAAGTACAGTGAAACATCCATCCTGATCACTTTAAAAACAACAGCAACAACAACAACAAAAAACCCCACACAAATTAAGTCTCTAAAACATCTCTCAGAAAACCACATAAGCGATCTCTCAGGTCAACTTCTAACTCGGGGCCTGGCCAGCAAGAAAATGTAAAAACAATTACGATGAGCATTTATGTTTAGTGTGTTTTAAAAATTCATCTACATGGGGCACCTGGGTGGCGCAGTCGGTTAAGCGTCCGACGTCAGCCAGGTCACGATCTCGCGGTCCGTGAGTTCGAGCCCCGCGTCGGGCTCTGGGCGGATGGCTCAGAGCCTGGAGCCTGTTTCCGACTCTGTGTCTCCCTCTCTCTCTGCCCCTCCCCTGTTCATGCTCTGTCTCTCTCTGTCCCCAAAAAAATAAACGTTGAAAAAAAAAAAATTAAAAATTCATCTACATAAAACCCTGATGGCACAGAACGGTACCTTACTAGATGAGAAGCAGATGAAAGTTTCTCAAGAGGATAAAATGTTATTAAGAATTAAAGATAATGTGTCAAGATGCATAATAACCAACTGTTAAGTGTTCTGAATTTTTAATGTGAAATTTTTCTATCCAAATCCCGATTAAGTTCTTAGAACCCATGCTTCTGAAGTGGACCTTCACTTAGAAAAAGGCAAACTCTGGAAATGCAGTCACGTGAAATTGAAAAGGAACAGAAAGCATCTGTTACTGGTTCAATGATATCTAGTCATCAATGACTCCAGCTAACCCACTGGGTTCAAGAAATACAGGACATACTCAGATAAAAATAAAAACAACAGCATTTTGCTGACAGAAAAATACAAGCATCATCACAAATTCTTTTCAGAGAACTTTAATCTGGACATTAACTCATCATTTACAAGTAAGCGGAAAGGTTAGCTTTCTCAAAGTTAGGAAAAGCAGCAGGTAAGTTTGATCAGATAGTCCTGTGAATATTAAAGAATGTGTTTTAACAGTCACAGAACAGTTGGGTATGCCAAAAGATATCTGAAGACCTTGGCTATCTACTCTTTCTCTAACAGACGAAGAAACCAGAGCCATTTTTCAGAGGTTCTACCTAAAATCCCACTGTATGGGCACCTGGGTGGCTCAGTTGGTTAAGGGTCCGACTTCAGCTCAGGTCATGATCTCGCGGTTTGGGAGTTCGAGCCCTGTCCAGCTCTGTGCTGACAGCTCAGAGCCTGGAGCCTGCTTCGGATTCTGTGTCTCCCTCTCTCTCTGCCCCTCCCCCGCTTGTGCTCGCTATCAAAAATAAATAAAAAAAAAATTTTTTTTTTTTTTTAAATAAAATCCCACTGTAGGGTGGCAGAAAACCCAAGTCTGGGTATAGGTGGTTTTCTATCTTGAACCCAATGCTCTTTCCACTCAGGGTCAGAAATAAACCAAAAGAAACTTTTCAAAAAGCAGTAGTAAAGACCTATATAGCATGGAACTTAAAATACAATTTCTTTTTAATACAAAATTGTTTTCCCTTAATTTAACAAATATAGTCAAGGGCTATAGATTATCTGAAAGTCCTCATTACGCCCATAAAAATGTGTGTGTGTGTGAAGAATAAGGTCTAGTTTTGCCTTGATAGACAGAATGCAGTTTAATGAGAACACAAGTGATGGCTCCTTTTCACTGATTTGTTTTAAACGAAGACAATGAGAGTTTAGTAGTATTCAAACTTCAAGACAGAAAATTCAAGGTCATATATAAGGCTTCATGAAATATCTGACACATTTTGTCAAGTGCAGACAGAAATGAGGGCCTGAAAAAGTGGATGTTGTGCAGTGATCTTGGGTGTCGAGGGTCTCGGGCAGGGGAGGCAGGGGAGGCAGGCTCCCGGGACAGGTGCTTCCCCCTTCCCCCAGAACAGTGTCCACAGAAGTCCTGTGTCGCCCACCACGCTGGCCTTTTCCCCAAAGGGTGCCATGATTACGTACTCTTAAATATTCTTCTAAATTGTGGATAGTGACCGGTATATCCTTTCCTCCTTTCTTCAGTTCGATGTTGGGAAATCCTGGCAGAGTGAAATCCAATCCTAGATCTTCAACTGAGCAGCCGTTCATAGTCAGGGTTTCTAATGCATATTGTAGACTCTCTTTGGTCTAAACAAGGGGAATGGGAGATCAAGCACAGTGATTCAGTTGCTTGTATGTCTGTGTTTATAAAACAAAAGATATGCTAATAAATTTTATGGGTTCCTTCAGCTCTTAGAATACTTCTTTTATTGTCGTAATTTACACATGACACAGATCACAAAGGAAATAAGCACTTTAGAATCCAACTATTTTTATATGGGGGAAAAACCAGATCACCTAAGTGGTTTTTATTTATTTTTTTTTTTTTTTAAGTTTTTATTTATTTTTGGGACAGAGAGAGACAGAGCATGAACGGGGGAGGGGCAGAGAGAGAGGGAGACACAGAATCGGAAACAGGCTCCAGGCCCCGAGCCATCAGCCCAGAGCCTGACGCGGGGCTCGAACTCACGGACCGCGAGATCGTGACCTGGCTGAAGTCGGACGCTTAACCGACTGCGCCACCCAGGCGCCCCCTTAAGTGTTCTTTCAAGATGAGAGGTCTGCTACTCCATCTGACTGAATTTCAAATCACCTTTCACAGAAAGTCCTAATTGTTTACATGATGGTTAATTCAAGAGTAGCTAATAGGGCCAAACTTCTCCTAAATTCTATCTTAATCCTACACACACACACCCCAAATACCAAGCAATAGTTAGGAAACTGTAAATACAAATAACGTACTATCTACTAATGGTTATAATTAACATTCTTCCTGCTGCAAAGCTCAAGTCTAAGGAATACCCTGGGGATTCCTCATTCAATCACTTCAGGACTAGAGGAACAGATCTGTATCCACAATGAAGAAAAGTTCCAACAAAACCCTCAAGTCCTACTCTAAAGACAATTATTAAAAAGCAGTTTGTATTATTCACCTTTTTAAATGCTCAAGAATACGAAAGGCTTACGTAAAATTTCTTTAGATTAGAAATCAAAGACCAACATGCAGAACTGCAAATACTATCTGAAAATAAAGGTGTTCAGTATAGGAGGAAGGGGCCAAGTGACTTTCCAAACTGGGGATACCCATACGTATGAAATTCCTAGCAGCCAAAGAGTCTAGGTACAAGAAATTAGTGATTTAAACTAAAAAAAAGCTAGGAAGTTCTGGCTTACAGTCATTTTTAGAAGTTCTCATTTAGTCATTCTTTAATTAAAAAATATATATATATTTGTTTATTTATTTTGAGAGTGTGTGTGTGCACACTGATGAAGCCACCCAGGCATTTTTAAAATTAGTCATTTTTAAAAAGGGAAATAAAAGCTGCCTAGGATTCCAGAGGATTCAGAACGCAGGAGGGGTAACAGCACGAAGACGAGGTATAATGTGCCTGGGGACTATGGCCGTCTGTCCTCGCCTGTAAAAGCCTGTGTTTACGTCTTTCCTCGGACTCAGGTGCACATTTGAGGGCACCTGAATGAAGACCTTTCATTGCCATCATTGGGACACCTGGGTGGCTCAGTCGGTGAAGCATCCGACTCTTCACCTCAGCTCAGGTCATGATCTCACGGTTCGTGCCCCACGTTGGGCTCCGCTTGGACAGCGCGGAGCCTGCTCGGGACTCTCTCTCTCCCTCTCTGCCTCTTCCCTGCTCACTCTCACTCTCTCTCAAAAGAAAAAAAAATCGCTATCATTGAGAGGAATCTAGAATATACAGTGTCCTCGAGATGCTTAAAAGAAATTCACTATTCGTTTTTTCAGATCTTACATTAAATCGAAGGCTAATAAGCTTTAGCCCATTTCCCATGTATCTTTTGAGAATTTAACTACCGAGTTTGCTCCATCCGTGTACTTTATAAACGATGAGGGGAGGGTTTGGAACCCACGCCATTCCTCACGTGCTGGATGAAAGTCGGTTAACATGGTACATCGGTTTCTGGAATCTGGTTTCCGTGCTGGGCATTTTATACTTTTAAAGTGGCAACATCAAAAATAAAGATAAGAACAAATCTCAAAAGATATGAGGAAGAAAACCGGGTGGCATATTGCAAAATGTGTAACAGTGAAGGTTCCAGAGCAAACAGCCCGGGTGTGAACTCTCAGCCCTGCCCCCACTTCTAGGTATGTGACCTTGGCAGGTTACTCAGCTGGTCTGCCCTGGGTTTCTTGTGTGTAAGGCAGGAATATCAGAAAGACCTAAATCTCCCAGGGGTGTTGTGGATGAAATGAATTAATAGACATAAGGCACCTGGAGCAGTGCCATGAGTTTCACTTTCTTTCCTTCCTTCATTTTCCCCTCATTATTTACCTAAGAGATAATCCTAAAGAGGACTGCATTAGTTATGAAAATTTATCAAGTTGGTACACGTAAATCTAATGGATTCTAGAAAATCTTAAGACAACAAACCTTACATGGCCTCTTTTAAATGCCAATTTCTCTTAATAAAACATTTTTCCTCAAGTCACCAATTAATAAGGGAGATAAAATTATTTCCCTTACAAATCATTTTCTTCTCTGATAACAAGGCATTCTAAAACCTATCTGTCTACAGTAAGCCCTTCTCCAGCTTATCAGGAGATGTGACACTTCCCTACAGAATCTCCCCTATTCTTACTTTACATAATTTATAAAATGGGAGCTGCTTTAAAATCGGGCCATGTTACATGCCCAGACATAGCTATTTGAATCCGTGCCACTTTTGTCTTCTTCTAATGTCTGACGCAGAACTGCTATTAATCTCAGACTGGGTAAATAATCTTTAATCTGTTATCAATATATAAAGAATACACATTCATGATATAAAATGAAAAATCACACATTCTAATAGCGAAACCTCAACAGGTGTTCCTGAGAAATAGAGAACACCCACCATGACCTTTAAAACTATTTTCCTGAGATCTTTCTAAAAACAGGTGGACTGGTCTTCTTTCCAGAAAAACAATCTATCCTAAGCATAGTTTTATTGATTCAAATGCTTACTAAAAGAATTCAGGGGGGCCTGGGTGGCTCAGTCAGTTGACTCTCGAGTTCAGCTCAGATCACGTGATCACGGTTTCGTGAGATCCAGAGCCACGTATCAGGCTCTGTGCGCGGAGCGTCCAGAGCCTGCTTGGGATTCTCTCTCTCCCCCTCACTCTATGCTCCCCCCACCCCACTTGCATTCGCTCGCTCTCAAAACAAATAAATAAAAACTAAAAGAAAAAAAGAAAAAAAATAATTCAGTATGATAACACTACCTGTCCAGGTACGTAATGCCCATCTAAATTTAATAAACGAGTGGGGCGCCTGGGTGGCGCAGTCGGTTAAGCGTCCGACTTCAGCCAGGTCACGATCTCGCAGTCTGGGAGTTCGAGCCCCGCGTCAGGCTCTGGGCTGATGGCTCAGAGCCTGGAGCCTGTTTCCGATTCTGTGTCTCCCTCTCTCTCTGCCCCTCCCCCGTTCATGCTCTGTCTCTCTCTGTCCCAAAAATAAATAAACGTTGAAAAAAAAAAAAATTTTAATTTAATAAACGAGAGCCCTATGGCTTCAAGTCAGGACTGTATCCTATTTGTTAATCAAGCTGTTTATTTATCACCTGCTGTTATCATAGGTCATCTTACCCACTGTGAAGTCTTTTCAGTTATTCTAATAAAAAAATTAGAACTCTTCTAAAATACGACATTAATATAATAACTGGATCAAATATAAAGCACTTAACAAAGACCTCATCTCGCAACGGTAAGAAAGTGATCCACTTGACCGCTTTCTTATCTTCTAGGCTCACCTGGGATTTATCTTGTTCAAGTCTTTTCTTCTGTCTGACAATATCTTCTAGGTGATACACTGATCTGGCTACAACCGGGTCAATGTCAAACAAATCATGCGATGTCAGTGAAGTTTCTTGCCGTAGCATCCACTTATAGAAGGGTAAGCCAAGGGGAAGGTCCACCTGAAAGGGAATATACACAAAATAAGACAGTCATGCTAAGCTTCTAGAATTGCCTCAATTTTATAACTGACACTTTAAGAGATCATTTATAAAGGTTGAGTAGTACTCCCCCAAAACCCCCACATTTTGGAATGGTTTCTCTCATTAGACACAACTGTTCCCATTTAAACCCAATTTGGGGCCCTGATATTGTGAAAAACTTAGTACACCGAAGAATCCTATTTAAAAAAACTGACGCTAAAAAGGTGATGGACATATATATTCTCCATAAGAGCCTCAAACTAAGAGATGTTTATAGGAATCTTACTCTATTTGGGGTGGTGTAAACTAAATTCCACTGAAGTTTGTATTACTGCACATTTGGAAGAAAAAGAAGTTAAAAGGAAGGACCAACTAATTAAAAATGAAAAAATGTAACTTCTAAAATAACTCAGGGCACCTGGGCGGCTCAGTTGGCTAAAGCATCTGACTCTTGGTTTCAGCTCAGGTCATGATCTCATGGTTGTTGAGTTCGAGTCCTGCACTGGGCTCTTCTCTCTCCTTCTCTCTCTGCCCCCCGGCCCCTGCTCGCATGCATGCATACACTCTTTCTCTCACTCCAAATAAATAAAAACATTAAAAAAATTCAAAAATAAAAATAAACAATAAAATACAGCATTAAGTGCAGGGGATTAAGATACTTTCATAGTACAGGTACAAAACAAAACCGTCGACAAGCGAATAATCCTACACTTACCAATCTGAAATCCATGATCGCCTTGGCCATTAATTTGCCTAAGAAGCGAAACTTCATCTTAACCTTTGCGATATGAGCGGGCTTAGCCGTCCTACCAAAGGGAAGCGCAAACAGGCCCTGGAGGTTTTGAATGTACTTGGTCCCTTCTTGGCTTCCTATAAAATGAGCAAGTCACGAAACTTTAGGTGCGATTTCCCAGAACAGAACAAAATAAGACAAAACCTGGTTAACTAATAACACTTAAGAAATTCAGTATTCTCAAAATCAGAAGGCAGATCACAGAATGAAGACCTCTAGAGCCGGAAGGCTCTCTTATTTGATAACAGAGAAAACAAAGGCTAAAAGGTAAAAGGGATTGAGGTCGGAGAGCATGTGAGTTTATTAGAAGCTAAATATATTTAATGAACTGTAATGGCCCTTTTACTTGATGTGGAAAACCCACAGAGACTCACAAATTGATGGTACCTTTTGGATTGCTGAGAGTCACTTCTTCACCTCTCCAGAGACCCAAATCGGCTCTCTGTAGTTCCTGAGATACAAGTGCATAAAACTCCAGTGTAGGCCCAAGACCGGTACCAACCTACAGGAGAACAAAAATTGAACGATTTCAAACTTCAGATCTGACGCTGCCTTTTAGACCAGCCAACCTTTCTGCAACGCAGACGCTAACAGCAACCATTTTTTGGACGTGTTATTGCCCAGACCATCCTATCTTCCTTCCGTCTTGGTCGGCCAGAACAAGAACCAGCAGCCCTGTATTTCCTCTTTCTCCCCAGGACCTAACACTGTCACTGCAAGGGTCCGGCTCCTACACCGGTAACAGTGCCACTGCAGCTGTCTTGCCCCCGGGGAATAAGATGGCTTTGTCTGAGTACGAATCTCTTTCCCGAGCTCTCATGGGTGAGCTGTTAGCCTGAAAGCAGTTCAAATGTCATCTCCTCAGGAGAAGCCTCCTTTTCTGCCCAGTTACTCTGCCCACCCCCCTTTTTTTAGGATTTCTAGTCCAGCTACTTTAGTGCTTATCACATCATAGCACCGCAATTTTGTTACGGACTCACATTTCTCACTCGAGGATAACTTTAATTCACCTTTGTACCTTCAGTGGTGCCTGGGCACGCACCAGTCATTTAACAGAGGTTCGTTGAATAAAACAAGAATAAGAGAAGGCCAGAACCCACGCCAGCACCCACACGGCTAACTCAGCTTCGGAGCCTCACGGTGCACTAGCAACTCCGGAGAGCTTTATCGGTATGTACACGGGATGGGGAGCATGTCCTGAAGACTCTCAACTGACAGGTCTGATTTAGAGCCTGGCCCAGCTCCAAGGTGACTGCACAGCCTTGAATGGAAACCCCTCCTCTGTGAGACATATCCTGTGTCCATGTTCACAGTCTCGTTATTCCTTCATGTTTCAAGGTCCTGCCAGCTCAGACCATAAATTAGATATTTGGCTAATGACAAGTTAGTATCATAGTTTATGTGCTGCATCCACAGTCCTGGTGAAAAAAACGAGTTCCCTTATAGATCATTGTAAATAACTGGCCTTATTTTATTACCATAGTTACTTTTAAAAAGTGCCTATACTGGGGCGCCTGGGTGGCGCAGTCGGTTGAGCGTCCGACTTCAGCCAGGTCACGATCTCGCGGTCCGTGAGTTCGAGCCCCGCGTCGGGCTCTGGGCTGATGGCTCAGAGCCTGGAGCCTGTTTCTGATTCTGTGTCTCCCTCTCTCTCTGCCCCTCGCCCGTTCATGCTCTGTCTCTCTCTGTCCCAAAAATAAATAAACGTTGAAAAAAAATTAAAAAAAAAAAAAAAAGTGCCTATACTAGTTCAAACGATAAGATGCAATCCACCAAATGTTTGACTCTAACTTTGCCAACAGTGATCTACCAGGCTGGATGCGGTGGCACCTTGGGGATCCACTTCCATCCCTTCGTTAGTTTTCCTCTACGGCAGTAAACGGCATCTGCGTTCACCCCAGACTCCAAAAAACCTTGGCTCATCTCTTTTTCACTCGCCGCATTCCAACCCATCGTTGAACACTGTAAGCCCCACCCTCACAATATATTCTAAACCGGTCACCGCCATCACCCCTCATCTGGGCTACTGCCAGCCCTCCTCCAGGGTCTCTGCACCAGCAAGCTTGGCGTCTCCTGTTCTAGGCTCACAGCGCTGACAGAGGCCTCCGTCTCTCGCAAAAGCAAAAGCTCAAGTTCTTCCACGCAGGTCCTCCGTGACCCCTCCTACAGCTGGACTCCGACCTCCAACCAGTCATTCTGCGACAGGCCAGGTCTCCGTGTCAGGGCTTTTGCTTCTCAGTTCTTTTGCTAGACACACCCTTCCCTAAATGGTAATGGCTCACCTGTGCTCAAAGGTCCTCTTGGGCCACCCTTTCCCTTCCCCATCGTGATCCATCTCATTTAGATTTTTCTTCATCACGAGGCCTAACATATACATATGTTAATAATATTATTAACATAATAATTATTACATGATAATATGTAATAAGGAAGTGCGTACTGGCCTTCCCAAACTGAACAAAGTTCTGAGATGGTAGGAATTTTGTATGTTTTGTTCTTCACTGAATACTGGGTAGTGGAGGAGAGGAAGAAGGGGAAAAAAGAGAAGCAGAGAAAAGAAAAAACTGCAGTAACATCTGACATCCACCAGAGGGCAGTTTAGAGCTGCTTAACTTTTTCTCCCTTTAGCGTAATTATCCTAGGCGAAAGAGAAATCACAAATCAGATCAAATTCCTTCATCCAAATAATACTGTTCTTTCTAAAGGCAAAACAGACTTAAAATATTAAATGGCCTGGGTATCACTATAAACCCGTCACCACAGCAAATCTCTGTGAGGGTGGAAGGAACAGGTCGAAGCTGCCCTGGCATGGGGCACCTGGGTGGCTCAGTTGGTTGGGCCTTGGACTTTGGCTCAGGTCATGATCTCGCTGTCTGTGAGTTCGAGCCCCACGTCTGACTCTGTGCTGACAGCCCAGAGCCTGGAGCCTGCTTTGGATTCTGTGTCTCCATCTCTTTCTGTTCCTACCTCACTCGTGCTCTGTCTCTCTCTCAAAAATAAATAAAAACATTAAAAAAGAAAGAAAGAAAAAGATGCTCTTCCCAAGCCCTGCGCTGGCCAACAGTGCTGCTGTTCGCAACCTGATCTTCTCAGGCATCTTTGTTCTACTCAGCCACTCCAGTAAAAAGGTAGGGAGTTTGCTTTTGCTTCATTGGTCTTTAAAGGAAAGAAAAGCATAAAGCTTTAGAAATAAAAACAGAGAAGACCAAGTTCTGACAACTTGTCTTACTCGAAGTGCTGCGAGTCTTTTTCTTTCAAAAGCTAACCCTTATGTACCAGCAATTATCATGTGCCACTGTTCTGTTCTGAGTGTTTTTCACACCTTAGCTCATTTAGTCATTCTAACAACATGATGAAAAAGGTCCATTTCTTACACACTTGTTGAGGCATCACCGAGGAGTTTACATAATGTGCCCAACGTCACGGTCAGTCAGTGCTGGCACCAGGCTCCACAGTCCATGCTCCTAACGCTTCACCACCCCAGAGGCTGGTCATTCGTAGCCCCAGCGAATCCTGAGGCTTGAAGACTCTCTGAGCCCAGAGACGGGTTTGGTTCTTCCCTGGCTCACCAATCATCCTTGTTCAAGCTAGGGCCCATGTTGATTTGACACCGTGAACTAGGATTCTTCTGGAGCTACTCTGAAGTCTTCCGAAAGGTCACCTGCATACTTGTATAGTTGAATAGGATTTATGACCTGATACCCTTTGTATCTAAAAAGACAGTACTCCCAACCCCTGTTCCCCACTGAAGTCAGCTCCTGGAATCTTTTCCAGCGTCAGTAGTTAGGACCATCCATGAAGATTATAAGCTCATGATTTCTGCATCAGTAATTCATTCTTGATGATCCTCAGATCAATGTGATGCTACTCTGAACTTGTTTAGGCTCCATGTAAGATGCAATTTGAAGAGAGGCACAAAGGATGAGAGAGGAAAGGAAAGACATTCCTGGCAAGAAAACACTATGTTGGAGTAAAAAAGTAGAAAGCATGTTAAAATAAATTCGGTAAAAGAAGTCAGAGCTGGAGCAGAGGTCTTGCAGTTTTATGAAGAAGAAATGTGGGCACGTAAACATCTAAATCCTGTATCCTCCGAGCAAGTGGCCTAAGCACCTTGGAATCAAAACTCGACCCCAATTTCTTATCCCAGCATGCGAGGCCTTGCCCCGGTGTCCCCTCACCCCATCACTTCTGGAGCCAGTACTCATTTCTGCTGCTTTCCACACCACCAAGCCCAATCCTTTGCTCAAGCCACAGCATTTGTTGGTCCCTTAATGCTCCCAGTCTCTTCCATGAAGGTCTAACTCTATGGCCTACTGGTCCTCATGGCTCCCAGGACAGTTGTACTTGTGTGAAAGCCTCGTTCTCTTGACACCTGTATCACTCATCGGCCATATACCTTTGTCCTAGGACTTCCCAACTACACCATAATATCCTTTGATCTCTGTAATCCTGTGAACTCTGCTATAACCTGTATCACTAGGGCGCCGTATACTTCCCAGTACAGAAGTACTTAGAGTTTTAATTTTGATGACCGAAGACTCTCAAATTATCTTTTCAAAAGCCTTAAGGAGAAGATGAAAATGCTTAAGAAAATGAGTGAAAATTCAAAGTCATACTTAAAATTACTTGCATACTACAGGTCATACTGTAGACTATTAGAGATTGTGCTATAACCCACATTTTATAGATAAGAAAACCGAGAGGCAGAGAGACTAGCTATTAGAAATAATTGGCGTAATAGAAGGTTTGGATATTTTACGTCTCTAAGAGTTTCAGAAGTCTGAAAATTCTGAAGTTTTGTCTTAAAAATATTTAGGGGAAAGAGGGAGGAAAGTATCCCCAAGAAACTCCATATTTCATAGTAAAAAGAGACAGAAAATAAGTATTTGGTGTACTGTCCTGGCTGTTTAAAAGCATCTCAAAAGAAATAAATGACAAAGATTAGAAAAGAAGTAAAACCATCTTCTTTCACAGCCGACACGACTGTCTAACAACACAGATCAGTAAACTGCACCTCTGGCCCACTTCCTGTTTTGTACAATCTGCAATCTAAGAATGGTTTTTACAATTTCAACGGTTGATAGAAAAATCTTGAATATTTCACAACATGTGAAAATTGTATGAACTATAAACTTCACTGACAAAATTTTATTGGAACATGGCCAGGCACATTTGTATATGTACTGTCTGTGGCCACGTTCACGCTTGTGCAAAGGCGAAACTGAGTAGCGGTGATGGGAGGCTGCAGGGCCCACACCACCTGAATCTGGCCCTTTACAGAAAAGCTTCCGAAGCCCTGGAATCCTAAGTGATGTATTACAAAGTTATTACAACTGGGGTGCTTGGATGGCTCAGTCGGTTAAGTGCTGACTTCAGCTCAGGTCACAATCTTGCGGCTCCTGAGTTTGAGCCCCATGCCAGGCTCTGTACTGAAAGCCTGAAGCCTGCTTTGGATTCTGTGTGTGTGTCTCTCTCTCTCTCTCTCTGCTCCTCCCCCACTCATGCTCGTGTGCACGCGCTCTCTCTCTCAAAAATAAAATAAATATTAAAAAAAAATTTTAAGTTATTAGAATAATTAAGTTTAACAAGGTCGAACTCTAAGGGTCAGGGGAAAATTTCCTGGGGATATATAAAAGCACAAACTAGAAAAGAAGAATTGATGAATTGGATTTTATCACAATTAAAATCTTCTGCTCTTCCAAAGACCTTTCACGGGGAAACTGAAAGATGAAGTACAAACTGGAAAATATCTCTAAACACCTATCTCATGAAGAACTTGTGTCCAGAGTAATGAAAAACTCAACAACTTAATCATAAAACCCAATGATGAAAAAGTGGACAGAATGCTTGGGATACTTCTCCAGAGAACATGCATGAGTGGCCAATGAAACAAACGGGAATGAAAATATCATTAATCTTCAGAAAAGTGCAAATACAACACATTAAGACGTCACTACAAACCCACCAAAATACCCCAAATTAAAAAGACAGTACCCAAGGGCTGGTGAGTATGTGAAGCAATTGAAATTTACACGCTCCATCGCTGGTGGGAATGGAAAATGGCAAAGCTACTTTGGAAAACAGTTTGATGTTTCTCATCAAGTAAAAACATGTCTTACTAAATAACTTACCAATTCATCCCTGAACTATTTACCCACGAGAAAAAAAAAAAAAACCTAGGTCTACAAAGACTTGTACACAAATGTTCATAGCAGCATTATTCAGAAGTATCAAAAACTGGAAACTAGGGGTGCCTGGGTGGCTTCAGTTGGTTGAGCGCCTGACTCTTGATTTCGGCTCAGGTCATGATCTCACGGTTTGTGAGTTCGAGCCCTGCGTCAGGCTCTGCGTGGACGGCACGGAGCCCGATTGGGATGCTCTCTCTTCCTCTCTCTCTGCCCCTGCCCCACCCGTACGCACTCGCTCTAAGATAAAGAAACTAAAAAAAAAAACAAAAAACAACAAAACAAAACAAAACAAAACTGGAAACTAAAATGTGCATCCCCTAGTGATTGAACATTTTGTGAGATATCCCTACCATAGACTCATACTAGTGATAAAAGGAAACAAACTGATATATGGAACAACAGGATGAATCTGAAAAGCACTACACACTAAGTGCTAGAAGAATGACACAAATGGCTACGCACCACAGGTGTCCACCGCCTACTGCACTGTGAAAAAGACAAAACTATGGGACAGAAAACAGACCAATCAATGGTTGCCTGAGGGTGGGGGTGGGGGTGGGGGTGGGGTGTGTACATTTGGCCACGAGAATTTGTACAATTAGAACTGGACGTGTTAAAAGTGTGCATTTATTACATAGGTTATCTATTTCGGTAAATGTAAATTTTTAAAAAGGCAGTTCAAACATTCTGAAAGATATGGCTTAAAACACTCTTCCACTTTATCAACCTAACAACTGCACAAACATTTGTTCTTAGGCAAGAAAAAAAACTCTCTCTTAATATACAACTGAACTTTGGAAAATGGAGAGCTTAGATCACCAGCAGAGCACATCTCCAGTTTCCAGATAAATTTCCCAACTGTCTTTTAGAATTTCAGAGGACCAACAAACTCTTACGAAAGCACAAATGAAGCTGAAAAGCGTCAACGCTCATAAGCTCACCTCATTCTCATACTGGATTTCTAACATGGCCCGTGAGCTCCCCAGATCCTGCATCACAGACTCGGCTTGTTTCAGCAGCTCCTCTCTGTTCACAGTACGCTAAAAAAAAAAAAAAAAAAAAAAGAAAGAAAGAAAAAAAGAAAAAAAAGTACAAGGGTGAAGAAACTAGACTCATATTACACTATAATAAACAGGTGGCATTTATCGAAGTGCAAAAAAAAAAAAAATCAATTCGGTTGTTTTAACTGTTTCTTTAAAGCACGCCTCAGAAAAGGGTAAGAGAGTGGCCGCACGGCTACAAACACACACAGCGAGGCTACATGGGAAGTGTCCTCTTGAGCCCACGACAGGTTCAGAAAATTCAAGGTGGAGAAGAAAGGATCTCTGTGACCTTGCCCAAGACCAGTGCAAGTCAGGGCTGCAGCTGCATGAACCACCCCCCAGGCACACGTACATTGACGTAATGGAGAAATAGGTATGGGGGTGGCTGGTGACACAGGTGAGCGGAAACTTCCCGGTTCCGACCTGCAGAAACTACAAACATCTACTCAGGAGATTCAGGAGGACAAGAGAGGTCCTGCTAGATTTCCAAATCCCATCAACACCACTGTTTACTCAATCCTAATGACACAAGTATAAATAGAAATAGCAAAGCTTAAAAAAAAAAAAAAAAGTACTTTTTTGTTTCTGCTTCTCATTCCTTCTAACTCCTCTTCTAATGTCATTACTAATGGCTCTCATGAGTCTTGGAGTGAAAGGTTTTGGAAGGACAGACCTGAGTAGGAATCTTCAGCACAAAAGAGGAAGATAAAAAGGCAGTGCAGGGTCAGCAATGTTGGATGGGGTCTCTGCAGGAATGGCTCAGAGCAGTGTGGTCAGATCTACGAATGTGCAGCCAAGATGAGAAGCCCAGGAAAATGAGATCAGCAGCACAGGGGCTGACTGGGCTTGAGCTGGGAATTACACCATGAATCCTGTTTCAGTCATTTCTGGGCAGTGATTTGTGAAGGGAAGAAAGTGGATCTGATTAATTCTACCTACTGCATAAAGCATCAATTATAAAAGGGAGGCTACAGTTTGAGTTCGTAATTTAAAAAGGAAAAGAATCCTCAGTAAGAGAAGACGAGATTCTTTGTTGGCACAAGAGAGGAAAAAGAATTGCAGAAATTATTTCAGAAACAGGAAGAAGGGACTCTTACCTGCTGGGTGAAGAAGAACCACAAAGAGCCCAGTTCCAAGAGCTTGAGAGTAAAACATCCAGGTGAGAAATCAGACAAGCCAAGAGCTGGCTGTGGCTCAGCTACGGCCCTGTGCCAACAGGCACGTTCAGGTGCACCCCATTTCTAGTTTCCCCATTACTTTCCAAAGGCCGGTTTGGTTTACCTTTGAATATCTGGGGGGAGAAACTTACTTTTTTTCTATCCAATCTAGGTGCAACTCTGCTATCTTGAGAATCAGACTGGTTGATTTCTGGGTTGGTGTCAAGTAATCTCTGCATCGCTCGGTCCCGATCAAACGCAGTTACATAAAAAAGCATTTGCCGGGTATCAAAAGGGAAGAAAAATGGGCTGTAAAAAGATGCGATATAGATGATGTGAATTAAAATCAGAAACCATACAAACCCTTGTATTAGAAACAAGTTTTAATATGATACAGAATAATAACTGTAAACATAACCAAAAATGGTCTAGGCAAACTAATTTTGAACAATTTTCATAATTCTTTTATGAAATGTCTCAGTGATCAAGTAATAATGTATTAAGTAGTTTTTTGCTGTGAAATCTGAAATCCAACTATTCATATCAGGTCTATTCAAGATTATCTTTGATCTACCCAAAGACCTTCAGGATGCATAACACGACTAGAGAAATTTTAAATTTAAAATATAGTTTTAAGCCTGGTCACATTTCACTGCCATCCCATACCACATATACACAAATAATAGATAATGGCTTTACTAGCTCATGATTTTCCTCCCAGCTTTGGCATTTCTAAGTCACTCAAGCATGCCAAAGGGCCATGCTGATTTCCAAAGAATGAACCCTACAGTAATACAGATTCTATTGCTTCATGATGTAGGATTTTGGTAGTTCTTGACACAGAGTGGCTAAAAGCACTTCCTTTGAAGACCCCAATATTCAACATTTGTTCTGTCCAATACAGGTAGCCACATAAAGATGTGGCTATGTGGGACTAAAAACTAATTTCTAATTTACTTAATTTTAATTGATCTAAATGTAAACAACTGTGTGTGGCTACCGACTATCATACCGATCAGTGCAGTTCTATGGTCTCTGAGAATGTAAGTCTGGGCCCAAACAGGCACAGAAAAATCAACTGACTATACCTTTGGAGTCCCCATTTTGTGATGACAGGGGATTTTAATCTCCTTAATGATCCTTGTGTACTTTCCTATTTCACACACATAGATACACACTGCCACAAAGATCTCGTACGAGCCCCAGCTAGCCTCCTCTGGATGCTAGAGCCACTGAATATTCAGCAAGCTGTCATCAGATATGATAACGTCACTTAAACACATTTAAACAGGTTCATCAAAGACTATGCTTCTGTGACAAAATGTATAAAGACCAACACAACGATAACACTCCCAAAGTCGCCGTTTCAGAAATGATCGTCTTACCAGGTTTTTCCCAGTTCAGTCAGCCACGTTGGGATGTTTCCGGTCATGATCACTAAAGGATCTTGAAGCTGCCTGTTTGCTTTTGCTGTCAACTTACTGTTAATAAATTCACTAGTTGGAATAATCTCCTTGCACATTGCATTCTGTAAAATGTTAAAAAAAAAAAAAACAAACCCAAAAACAAAAAGGTCTGCATGCAGGAAAACATTAGGATTATATCCACTACCTCTTTCTTTACCTCCAAATATGTACCCAGAGTGCCTGGATTCTAGCTGGTTCCCAACATACAATACACAGCTTTCCACAGGAGTGTCCCAATCTAAATGACAACTTCTACAATGCCCAGCGGAATGGCCGAACTGCTACAGGGCACCAGTACTGTCCCAGTCACTGATGCGGCAGCTAACACTCATGCGAGGCCAATTCCTTCATTCTGCTTTGTATTGTATAAATATCAAAGGTAGTACTTAACTTTCACTTCATTTTTCACTTAATATGTATTTTAACTTAGACAAATGTAACTTTTGTTTAATGGAGAAAGAATTTTAACTATGTAAATTCACATTCATATTTCTTGTTGCAGCCTACCTTAATAAAGTTACAGCTAGGAAAACATTAATCCAAAATATAGGCCAGCAACGAAAAGTGGGGGAGGGGCGCCTAGGTGGCTCAGTTGGTTGAGCGTCTGACTTCAGCTCGGGTCATGATCTCACAGTTTGTGACTTTGAGCCCCCCATTGGACTCACTGCTGTCAGGCTCCTCTGTCCTTCCCGGCCCTGATCTGTCCCAGCTTGTACTCTCTCAAAGAGAGTAAATAAACATTAAAAAGAAAAAAAAAAAAAAAAGTGGGGGAGAAGCTCCCACTGTGAATAAATTGTATTTCACTGGGCTATGATCCCTGCATTTAACCGAATCGTTATTTCTGTTTCTAGTACAACAGAAATTAAATTCATCAACTACTAGACAGAAAACTATGGGTAGTGTGCCGTGAACACCACACCATGGGAACCATCATCAGCGGGCCACATTACTCACATCATACAAGTAATACCAGTATCGACTGATGGCATGTAGAACTCTTAAAAGAAGAATCACATCTAATGACGGGTCTTCAAAAGTTATATTTTCAGGTGGCGTGGATATGAGGTAAACTTCTAAAGGATTTGATACGGATGGGCACACTCCATCTAGAGGGCAAAAGATCAAAGTTAAGTTTGATCAAGGTTACAAAGGCTATGCCAGTGGCACTGGTGTCACCTTATCACACCTAAAATAGTAAGCACAAGCTGTGAAGATGTAATGTTTGGTATCTTATTAGGGTATTGATAGCTTGAACATTTTTTCCCTCTTATCTTATACCAAAATCATCCAGGCTTATAAGAATTTCACTTGCCTCCCATATCAAAATAAACACTGACTGACTCATACGCATTTCCTCTTTCAACAGAAACAACAGCTAATAATAAAATAGCTGGGAAAGAATAAAGACAAAAGGACAAAATGTGTAAATTTAAATTCACAGATATAAATTTCTTGGATTTTTAATTTTTATATCCAGCTTAAAATGGCCATGTAAAATAGACAAACACTCCCAATTGTAAATCTATAAGAGATTTGGTTATTTAATTCGAGGCTTAGGATAGAAAAGACTGTGATGATTTCTGAGGGGATCTAGGATGCTTTTCTTCTTAGATTTCACTTAGTAGCAGCATGGTGGGGAAGGGGGTTGTGGGGGTGTGGACTGTTGCCATTTACTTGGTTACCATGCACAGGAATCAAAATCACAACATTATCACTACAGAAAACAAAGGGCAATTTCTAACACCAAAAACACAGAAATAAAAATTTCAAAATATAAACCCTTTAAAAAAGAACTTAGTTGTGGGGGAGAATGCGGGGGAGAGAACCACAGCAACAACGAACCCCAAAAATATTTGTTACAATGTCCTTATTTCTGAGGACTAGAAAAATTCTCAGCAATTGACACCATTTAGTTTGGAAATCCCTGATAGGGATGGTCTCTGTGCAATGACCCTGCAGCCAATGTCCCGAGGCACTGCCACTACCACAGAAAAAACGTGTGGGGGGGGGGGGGTGTGAACGAGCACATGTAGACTGGAAAGAAATACTACAAAAGAAAAGAGCTCAGACTGGGAGATGCTACTCCATTCAGTAGTCATCGTATTACCTGGCAAAACTTTTCATTTCTTCTAGAACTGTTAGAGTACAATAAATGATGAAAATGAAGGGCCTGCCTGACCACGATCAGTCTCTTCTTCAGTAAATGTGCTCTACTAATGAAATGTGTTTTAGCCTTCATGAAAACAAATTTTTCATGGAAAGAGTATCTGAGTCTTTTCCAATTTTCTTTCCAAATTTAATTTTGCAGATACTTAATTTTTCATTTGTGGTAATTTTGTATTTTCTAAATTATAAAGATTTGACTGCTAGGTATACATCAGGACAAGAAGTCTACTGCCCCATGGCGATGGGTCTTCCCGTCCCTTGCACGAACTTACCGTGCCATAACTCATCATGCTTTTTTGCATTTCTGGGGGATGTTTTTGTTGGAGCTGTTTGGGCTCTTCCTCTTTTACCACCAACACAATCTTTATTACTTTCTTCATCCTCTCGCACGGGTTTGTACCTAAATCGATTGGAGAGTACGTAAACTAAATGTAGATCTTAAGAATAAAAACTGTTCTACAGGGGCCAAAGGGTGACCCACAGACACTGGAGTTTCTAGAACTCTAAGATCTATCCAGTTTCTCTTGACTTCTGGGTCTGGAGAATTACCAACGGCACCGCTTCCAAAAAGAGACCACAAATAGACCACATTCCCAGGAGGGGCCACCTGAGGAACTCCGGGGGTGGTCCAGGGGAGAACAGATCTCTTTAAATGTAAGTAGCAGACATTCATTCACAATGTGGGAAGCTGCATCCAAGTGCCTCTAAGGGCTTAAAGATGCCAAGCTGCTCATCACCCAAAGGAACTTCATCTTATGGAGATGTTTCTGTCTTATTTAAAGATCTGAAATGAATCTAAAAAGGTGACGTAAGCTAGGATTACTGCCCTTGAACAAACACGTTTTCTAGTAGACATAACGAAGGTAAGCACACACATACGTATGTGCATGCGTGTAGGCATTCATGCAAAAAGTATGTGAAGTGGCTTTTGATAATAAAATGTAGGATTTGGGTCTCCTCCCCTTACTTAGGCCAGCCATTCATATGAATTCCCAAAACACACAAACAGTAACAAAGCTGATGAAAACCGAACGAAGTCATTTTACTTGCCATATTGTATGAGTCTTTGTCCAAATACCAGCTCTTCCCAGAGGATTGCTCTCATCGTCTGTGGACTCCCTTTCATCTTCAGCCTGTATACTGAACTGTCGGACTGCCTGATACACAGTCATGTTATACGGGAGCAAGTGTTCTCCAATGTAAAACTGTAGCCGGTGTCTCACATTTCCTGAATTTAAGAACTGAGCAGCCTAAATGAAGCAAAAGAAAATCCAGTTAAGCTACAGGCCCTGAACTTCATCCATTACAACATGGTGAGAACAGCACCTTACCAGAGACTCGTCTATTTCCTCATCAGAGCCATCATCATCACTGTCTTCATCATCTTCTCTTACTCTTCCATACCCTAAGGATGCAAGAAGGCTGTTAAATTTCTAGCAACTTTACATGCCAGGGCCCACATATACCGGTTAAACTAATATGCTCTTAGAAAAACACGTGTATACTACACCTTGACCTATGAAACAGAAGGATTCAAGAAAACGGTCACATACCAAATGCCATTCCCACTACATTACATTCCAGCTGACTGTAAGCAGTCAGCTCCTAGGAAATTTCCCGCATTTCCACATACCACGTATTAAATAAATGATGGGAAGCCGAGTTCCTGAAGCTAGGTTTGAACAGAAGTAGTAATACAAGGGAAATCATTTATATATCCCTCAATATTCCCAGCCCACATGTACGTATGGAAACAAAACACACATATAGGGAAAGTACCTCTGACCACAAGGTATCTCTCGATAGCTTGTACCAAAGCCAGGGGATCAATCTTGACAGGCCCACCCTTCCACTGTTTCACATTTGCACAGTCTGGATGTCTTTGTAACTGGCATTTTAACTGATGGGTGTTGAAAAATTTTAAAGCCTGTGATCCTCTGTTGAGAGAAAAGCTCAAGATAATTTATGAAAAAAAGTTATTCTATTATTTTCAAAATCAACATAACAATTCACACAAAAGCAAGATAATACAAACTGCATTTTTTAAGGCACAAAATAAGCACTCACTTACCAGTTATGTAAATAGTGAAGTCAGCAATTTGACTTACTTAGTAAAGTTGTTAAAGTAAGAAATAAAAGAGGGTGTGTATGCACGCATATGAGAACATTAAATCATCATTCTCTGTCCTACCATAAATCCAAGCAGGCAGAAATCCCTCCCCACCGAGATTTAGCCATTTCTCTAGAATAAACATTCCGCAACCACTGTGCATGCTCACTTCCGCAGTATTTTGCCACTGCCTAACTAAATTCTATGGATTTAAAAACAAAAGAAAAAGCCCTCTTTTTTGCTTTCAAATGCTTCTGCTACAAAATTACTTTAAAAACTACCCTTTACAATTTACTTCACTATATTCTTTTGAATGAAGCAGTTCAAGAGCTGCACCAGTCTGACCCTGGAAATGAGAATTAATCGCTCATTTCTGAAAAAGGGCTGACAACATCAAGACACAGGCAGGCTTAAAATGCAGTTCTCTTTAAGATTCCAGAAGGCATGCAAACTGGGGTATTGGAGAGGAATATTGCATTAAACGGATACATATGTAAACATACACACTTTACACAAATCTGGGTGAAAATGAAAAACGTCATGGTTTTCTCAGGCATAGATGAGATGCCCCCTTGTTTCATAAAATCCTCCAGTAGGATGATTAAAACCGAATACCATTTTCTACATTAATTTTCAAAGCCAGAAACAGCTCTAGCCCACACTGCTCCCTCATCTGACCCAGTAATGCATATTGTTTTAATTCAATCACAAATTTAAATGCTTTCAAAATACATCAGACTGTGTATTTTTAAACCAAACTGATCTCAGGGGCACCTGGGGAGCTCAGTTCTTAAGCATCCGACTCTTGCTTTTTGGCTCCGGTCGTGATCTCACAGTTCCTGAGACGGAGTCCCGTATGGGGCCTGCACTGGTAGCACGGAGCCTGCTTGAGATTCTGTCTCCCTCTGGCCCTACCCTGCGCACACGTGTTCGTACTCTCTCGCAAAATAAACAAACTCAAAACAACCAAACTAATTTCTTATTTTGTATGCTTCCAGTCATGACATTCTAGAAACCTTGTAACATTCCATAAAATACAATAATGAACCTTTACAGTGAATTCTTTCTGTAGCACTTCATGAGTCCAGTAAAAGTACTATATTATAGAAAAAAATAGCAAGTTTTATTAAAACAAGAAAACTTCAAAATAAACTTATTTGTTAAAACCCATCAAAGGTATAATCACATCACACAGGGAATCCCAATCCTGCACAGAATGCAAATATTTTATCATCCATGCCTGTAAAATTCACGGAGAAGCATTCTAGCTAGATTAAAGTAATGGAACACTAAGCTTATTACAGGTTGCCAACACAGTCATTGGGTTATAGATTTCCAAAACGCCATGTTTAAAAAACACAAGGGGTGGATTTTAAATATAAAAAGTATTTTTCTTTAGCCATTACAACCAAATGGTCTTTGGGCAGATGAAGATATTACCAGACCTCTTGCCACTTTACCTCAACAAAATTAAGCACAAAGCCCAATGGCAAGGGCACACCCAAGCCATGATTCTTACCTGCCTCCTGTCCCATTCCCACTGGGGAAGTCATGTACTTTGACTGGAAACTGTTCCATCTGGCTGAGGCAGTTGTTCATCTTGTGAACTAATGCCAACAAAGGTGCATTACCCACTGGTTCTACTCTTCCAATGGGCTCTTCTCCAGGAAGCTGAAGTTATAAATAAACCAATCGGTTAAGCAAGGCCTCCTGAAAATGGAACACTGCTCAACAAGAAAATTTAACAGGCAGTTTTGCAGAAGAGAACCATTCATTTATTCTCTTTTATCTCTTGATACATTTGGTTGGAATGGTTACTTCCAAATAAATTATTTCAAAATAGAGACGCTTTTTGTGCAGGTCCACAATCCTTTATTCCTAGTTCCTAGGTCCAAAGGGCTTGAAAACACAACCTGTGTGGTGGTGAAACCTGACCCAGACACAAGGCTATCTGCAGTCTTTACGTTTATTTAGTAGGGACATTCACATGCTTTGCTGCAAAAACATTTAATGTGTGTGGAGTGTTATTTATCCACTGGGGATATCAGGTAATATCTATGTACTGTATTGAAGAACTTGTGAAAACCATCCAGCCCCAAGGAGTTTCAGGTAAGAGATTACATATCTACCTGTACATAATCTTAGGCATAGTATAAAACCACATCCAGTATTGCTACACATCTAATGCATCTCTAACAAATCCCAACTCTGCTTCAGGTAGCTCAAGTTAAAACAATACAAGAGGGGTGCCTGGGTGGCTCAGTCAGTTAAGTGGCAAACTCTTCCTTTAGGCTCAAGTTATGATCCCAGGGTGGTGAGATGGAGCCCCACATTGGGGTCCATGCTGGGCATGGAGACTGCTTGAGCTTCTCTTTCTCCCCCCTCTCTGCCCCTCCCCCCGCTCCCTCGCGCTCTCTCTCTCAAAACTAACAACTAAATTAAAAAATTAAAATTTGAAAAAATAAAACAAGAAATGCTCAAAATGACTACAAACACTGAAAGGAAGGCATAGTGAAGTAGTTTCCACTAACACACAGAATCATCCTTAGCCCTACTACACAGAAGATCCAGAGACATCTCCAGGGATGCCTTATCTCAAGTAGTTGTCAACAAGTAGAATGATGTTAAGTCAATATTGTCCAAGAATAGGTACATTCTTGCTCTTACCCACTGAGGCTGAAGGTAGGGGAGCCTCTTTGTGGCCTCTGCTCTTATAATCCAGATTGTAAGTGGTGACTAAGTACTCTCGAATACAACTGTTAATACTGTATTTTATATGCAAAATGGAAATGTCCACTCTATCTTACGTCTATAGCTATGTTTACTGTATTTCCACTACAGTATGTTTAAAAACAAATCTTGAGCATAAACACATTCACAAGTGAGAGACTACTATTAACGACTGGGCTTACAGGAAAAACAAAGACTCAGGATAACACGGATCATAAAAACTGTGGCACTTGCACCATTAAATCACCATGCTGTTGCTTTACTAGTGTATGTGATCTATAAAAGACCAAGGACTCCAACTGTGTATCAGAAGCTAGAAGCTTTACCTGAGTATCTCGACCAGCACCTAATGGAAATCACGGAGATGAAAATACACACATTAGTGAGCAAAGATTTCCGTAATAACATACACAAGCATTATAGACAACTTACTGGTGAAGAAAAGAATACATGAAGGAATCTCTTTAATCTGATCTCTCTGCTCACAGCATCCTTTTCACTTTTAGATGTCAAATAAAGCAACAGCTGCTTCACGAATCCACTATGCTGGATTTCAAATGATGAAACGTCTGACTCTGAGACTATGCTACGGATTTCTACAAGGCACTCAGCTCCACCATCCACCTGCAAGAGTTGGGAAGAGTATTTCTATGTTGATTTAAACAGTCCTTACTAAATGCACAATTTACACTTCCCCCAAAGGAACAGAATACATTCTCAACACCTTTAAAAAAGAAGGCAGGGGAAGTGATGCATTCTTGGTAGATCCTTGGAAAATACGATCTTAACCGGCATCCACACTACTAACATAGAAAAGTCTCACACTCAACCGATGTAAAACAAACAAAATAAATACAAACAACGAGAATATAAATTGAGGGGAAAAGAGAACACCAGAAGAAGATGAAAACAGAATATGAAGTGTGGCTTTAAATTAATACATTTAAAACCTAGATGAGGGGCGCCTGGGTGGCGCAGTCGGTTAAGCGTCCGACTTCAGCCAGGTCACGATCTCGCGGTCCGTGAGTTCGAGCCCCGCGTCGGGCTCTGGGCTGATGGCTCAGAGCCTGGAGCCTGTTTCCGATTCTGTGTCTCCCTCTCTCTCTGCCCCTCCCCCGTTCATGCTCTGTCTCTCTCTGTCCCAAAAATAAATAAAAACGTTAAAAAAAATTAAAAAAAATAATAATAAAAAAATAAAACCTAGATGAAATGGACAATTTCTTGCAAAACATGTACTACTCAAATTGCTCAGGGTGCACAAAAAAATGTAAAAAGGCTAAGAATCAGACGAAATTTAAACAGTTTATTCAACCTCCCTCTTCAACTACTATGAGACCCAGTTAGGTTAGGGAGGGTCCCATCCACTCTAATACCCAGAGTTGAGGAGATATACTCAAGGGACATTTCTCGAGTCTCTTCTTTTGTCAAGAAATACGAGTTGTGAAGAGAACAAAGTCAAGGAAGAGATTTCCCAGTACCGTTAATGATAAAATGATGAAGCACGAAAGTCAAGGGACTCGTTACAGAAACGTCAGTGCTAGAGGTACACGTCTAGCTAAAAAGTTGATCTAGGACAGCAAATCCGTGGAAAGCCAGAGAGTCATCAAGGGAGGAACAGGAAGACAGAAGAGATGCCAAAAGAGACTGTGAAGGACCAGCAAGGTGCACCCAACGCGGTACCTGGAGGTTGAGTTGTTCGGTCGCAGCACAAAGTCTCTGAAGGACATTCAGTGCAGGGTTGCTTCCATCCATGTTCTCAGAACTGAAGTAACGTTCTACAAATTTATGCGCTTGTTCCTTAATCCAACCTTTAATTTTTTCTCTGCACAAAGGAAAAACAAGATATTAAATTTAGTCTCAGTGTACAAAAAGGATTTCGACTGTAACTACCCAAAGGCAAATTGTTGCTACGTTTTTAAAAAACCCTTTTGGGCCTATGCTTATAGATTCATGAACTCAGATTCCATATTAACCAAATTTAAGTGTCATTTTGAAAATGGGTTAAGGTGTACTAGAGAAATGCACAGGTACTTAAAATATATTTCAGGTCATTACATGAAACATATACAAAAAGTTCTAACTCCCTGGAACTCTACCACATTAATAGTTTCCTTCCTAACTATTCGCCTGATAACAACTTGACATGACTGTTTCACTGGGTACAGACACACTTGCTTTGTCCTTTATTTGTGTTCCTTGGAGAGGTGAGGTAAAGAACTATAGACCAGAAACATGCACCTGTTAGATGTACAATTAACTGAAACCTCGCTGCTTAAATTACAAATTCTGATGGCTTTAGAAATACACGTGCTTAATTATTATTAAATGAAATTGAGAAAAACAATAACCAACGCAACCAATCAACCAAACAAAAAGAGCCTGTTTCTTTGCCAGTGGAATCTGATTTTTAAAAATTTCTTGGTTGCAGAGGAAATAATCCATGTTGGCATGCTACATCCAGAGTCAAAAGAACAACTCTAGAGGGTTTTTAAGAAATAATTGTTAATAGCCACAAATTGGTGTGTGAAACAGTTTAGCTGATACAGTTCTAAATTTCTTAAGACCAACCAACTGACCTATACTCTAAGATCTTTAAGTCCTAATGTAAAGGGAAGAGGGAGGGGATCTGAGACGCAGGTGAGTGTGTGTGCGTGTCTGTGTGTGCATGCAGAAAATGCCAGCTTTTACTTGTCTGGAATAAAACTGAGGAACAGGTTCCACAGGGAGAATTTATTTGGTTTTGAACGTCTACAACTCCCAACGAGAAATGTTGAAATATGTTTTAAGATGTAAGGTTGAAATTCAGGACAAAGCCAGGCACGGAGTTCAAGAACTGAGAAATCTATTTCATCTTTGAGCAATACCACTACTGAGCATAAATTAAAGGTCTGTGTCCATGTTTCATCTCCATACAATACACGTGCTGACTGAAATAATGCTCAGTTTGGCTAATCCCAAGCACAGAAGCAATAGATGATTCCCCCACTTCACCTATTATTGGAGATGGTGTCCTTTGAGGCAGCCCTGGCAAGACCACTGACTCCCGCGGTTCGTGCTGGTTCAATGTTGTTGCTGTTGGACTGTGCGCTTAACCTTCCCCACGTTTTTGGATTCAAGCTTGCCAGGAAAGAAGATTTAGGTGACTGAGTAGTGGTGGGGCTTTTAGCTATGAGAAGAAAAGGGAATAATGGTTAAACCACTTTAGCGTAACTGATGAAAACCAACTGAAATTTAACATTCCTGTTCTTGTGAGATGAATTAGCTGAAACAACTTAGAACACGGAGTAAACTCAGGTGTACTTCAAAGCTATCAGCAGCTTTCGTGAGATTCGTGTCTCTAACTGGTACCATCTTTCCCTCTGCCGTCCACCCCCACAGTGTCACCAAAGGAATTACCTTGATTGTCTACTTTGTCATCATCTCTTGGAGGTGAATACTTTGGCCTTCGTGGCCCTCGTTTTGGCAGTCGCTTTCTCTTTAGAACATCGCTTAATCGACTATCACATGAGAAAATATGGGAGAAGTTTAGCAATTACCACGATTTATTATCACTCACTGAAAAGCAAGCTAAAATGGCAGAAACAAGGAGCTGTAAAATACTGCCATAACGGTATTTTTCATTCAGTGATTACCTATTTAATGCAGACTCTGCTCCAGTCATGATCTAAGAGGTATAGAGACACAGAAGATGATGCGTTCAGAAAAAGCTATTTGACTATACTGAGCTACTAAAAGTAAAACCAAATAGACTATTTGAATAATCCTGTGGTAAACTCTTACTATAAAATGTTGTACACGTACAGAAAAGTACATAAAACAAATTTACAATGCAAAAACAAAAATTTAAAAAGACCTACGCTATCAAACTAGAAATAGAATGTTAAATCTGATTATCGTATTTCTTCCCTAACCTAAATGACAAGAAGTAACACTCATGACATTGAGTGTTAATATTATCAAAATGCTTTCCTGACACTGCCCAAAGTAATTTCACGGTATACAACTGCCATAACATCCTAAATGAATTCATTTATAAATAGTTTAGGGATTAAAAAAAAAAAACACCTCAAAATTACCTATAAACAGATCAAATCATAGTATGAATAACCTATTCTGAATTAGAATACCTGAAATAGAACATACGTAGCCTGTCTTATTTTCACTATTCCTAACAGTAGAAATAGTTTGAAATTATCAAATGATTCTTAGAATAACAAAACCATGTAAGATAGATAATATGGGAAAAATGTTCTGGTTCAGTTGGTCTGTGACCCACAATAAAATTAGAAAAATTTGAAAAAGTTTTAAAGTTCTTCCAATATCTGATGTCTATTAAAAACACTAATGTGTTTGGGGAGCCTGGGTGATCAGTTGGTTAAGCGTCCAACTTTGGCTTAGGTCATGATCTCACAGCTTATGGGTTCGACCCCTGCATCGGGCTCTGTGTTGACAGCTCAGAGTCTTGAGCCTGCTTCTGATTCTGTGTCTCCCTCTATCTCTGTACCTCCCTTGCTCATGCTCTGTCTCTCTCTCTCAAAAATAAACATTAAAAAAAAAACAAAACAAAAACAACAGTAATGTGTTTATGCTTGAGAAGCAAAATGAGTGAACGTCCAGATATGTATGGGTAAAAAATTCCCCCTTTACAAATTTATATGAACTTTTCATTAGAAACCATATTAAAAAGAAATGGAACCACTTAAAACTCCAAAAGGGTCTTTCTGTTTTGTTTCGGTTTTGTTTTTTTAGAATTTTCAATTATTAGACTATAATCAAGTCTAATCCTTCAGTGGCTCAGAAACAGCGTCTTTCTCTGAGCTGCATCACATCTCACCAAGCGCCTGCTGTCTAGGGCACCATGCCTGCGGTAGCGGAAGTTACTACAGCAGCCAGGGGGAAGGGATGGGGCTGGAAAGGAAGGAAGAAGAGAGGCAGGCGGACAAATCCAACCGGAGAAAAGAGAAGGTGGAGGGTCTCCAGTATTGTTCAGGCCCAATCTCACAGGGCTGGATCCATGACACAGGCACCACCCAAACCTAGAAGTTTCCCAAAATAACAGCCACTGTGTCAGAAGTCCCAGCGGGTAGCCCAAGTCCAAATGCCAAAATTCATACTTAAGCTAGAGTGGATAACTGCCACCAGGTGGCACCAAAAGGAGCTGGATCCTCAGCTGGCCAGCTTCTTAGAACAACGCTACCTTGCAGTTCACAGAGGTTCAATTTTTGGACCTCACTTATTGACTATATGTTTCACCCAGATCCACGTTACAACTTAAAAGGAGTAAAAAGGAATATTACACGGAGTACACTCTGAATTCCAGAACCGAGTCTGGTTGATCATGCACCATTCTTACAGCCATATTAAGTTTCTGATGTCAAAGAAACAAAAACACTTCAGAGTATAATTTGTTTTAACCCAACAAAATGAAAGCTAATATGAGGGTTTGGTGGCGATGTTCTCAGTAGCACAGTACAACAAGGGGATTAAAAACAGATAAAGAGGTGGAAGCAGACACACTTAAGAACTCCCATTTTCCTTTATTAAGAGCAAAGTCCTCATTTGCCAATGGAAGATAAATGGGAAGTCAGGTTTTTTCCTGTACGTTCTAAAAATTCTAATTTTTAATATTTTTCATATGTCACTACTTGGATGTCTCAAACCTGGAATGTATGCTACAATGCAGTAAATATTCGCCAGATCAGGGAATTAGAAATGAGGGCTCAAATCCTACATCTGTAAAATTCAGTGTGTGACTTTGGCACATCATTAACTTCTCTGAGCCTCAGCTGCCTTCACTGTCCCTGGAAATACCTAGTATCTCTTGTGGTTCCTAAACACGGCTTTGTAATACATGTTCAGTTTCTTCCCACCCATTCCCATTAAAGGTCTAAGAAGATACAGACGGGAAAATACAAGGTGTACTCTCGAATATTTTACCATTTTATTCCCTATGGGAATCTCAGGTACCAGGAGACAGTTAAAGGCAAAGAGCATAAAAACCACCACAGAACTCTGACTTACCCTTGAGGGCTCAGATCTAAAGAATCATCTCTGCTGTGCTGCAAGCTGGGGGATCCCACGTCAGCCGCAGCATTAGTGGCAGCCGTGGCTGTTCCACTGCTGACTGACGTCGTGGACCCCAAGGATCCTGACCCATTCGTACATGCCTTTGGTGGACTTGTCAACAAAGACTCTGATTCTGCTAAGTGTTTTACTTGATGCATTACACCTATACAGTAACAGATTTAAAAGAGTCAGTTTTAATTAGAACCACCTCCCACGATTACAAAATCCCTAAATGCTAAACAGGAAATGAATCAAAAGTATCCAGCGAATTGGGGGGGTAGGAGTGGGGGTGGAGGCCCTTAGGTGCCAGGGTTTTCAACTTGACCCATTCGAAAGAGTCGTAGGCAAATTCAACATTAAAGAAAGATATTGATATTGATATTGAAAGATAATTATTTTGAACATCATCTAATATTCAAAACCTGGTAACAGGAAGTTTTAATAGGGTCACACATAAATACCTAATGAAAATTCAAAATACCCATTATAAAAACAATCAACTACAAAAACACAGTAGCGCACCTGTGGTTCGATCGCCACAAGTAAAGAAAGACCTGCTACGATTATTAACCAGCTTCAAATGTTACAATGAGACGAAAGTAACTGTGACGCTGCTGCCAAAAGAGAGAACACCAGCAACCCAAGGATGGGGATTTTCACATCCTTGGAGGTGTACAAGGAGAGCCGAACTGTAACTCATGAAGGCAGGGGTTCATATCTGGGCTAGAATCACAGGAGAATGTAGGTGGGGCGGAGGGGAGTGCCACGAACTATTAACTGTATGCAAAGGTGTATGTCTTGAGTATATGAGCGCATGTTCACACATTCACGTTTTTTCCGGGATAGAGTCCAGAGTTTTCCATCAGATTCTTAAAGCAAACAAAAAAACCTCACAAGACCGCAAGATGTCTGAATGATCTCAAACTTCAGGCGTTGACTCCACAAATACTGTTTGCAGCAATCATATGCCAGACTGTGTGCAAGGTACTAAGAATATGACCATTGGTGAGAAAAATGGACTTAGGGCACTTACTGGGGAGAAAAAATAATTTTTATAAGAAATTGCAAATAGAGTAAACTGCTCCTCAGAGAGAAAATACAGTGCTGATGGAACACACAGCAGGAGGATCTAACACAGATTCTAGAAGGCAAGTCCTCAGGAAAAAAATGACAGGTGGAACTGGACAGAACAAATGCCAGATGCAAAGTAGCTGAAGTAATCAAGCACACCCCCCCCCCCCAAACTTCATAATGTATACACTATATGACTATCTGGGGGATGGAAAATTCAATTTGATGGCATAGTGTTCTTATACATGTAAAAAGAAAAAAAAATCACTTTGAGAAAAAGACATACTCTCATAAGACTTCCAAATCAGAGGGCGGAATATATCCGAAAGGTAGAACTAAAGGCTAACACCAAAACCAAGATACAAAACAAATTATAAGATAATCCAAGGCTAAAAAAACCACATACCAAATGTTTATGTGAGCACAGAAACATCTATTCATACAGGCACTCCATTTGTAAACCATAGTTATGGAGTTTGCTTTCCACTTCAAATAAATATGTAGCACTGGAATTTTTTTTTTGACTGTTTTTTAAACAAAACTAGTAAAAAATGGTGAAAGCCTCTTCCTATTTAATACTCTTACGCTAACAGGACTACAGCATTCTCAAGATGTGAAGAGATACAGAGCCAGCATCGGGTGATGAAAGAAGGGAAAACAGATCATTTGCAGAAAGAACTAGAATTGTTGGTAAGATGGAAGATGAAGCTAAGGATTAATTCAGTATAAAAACACCATGATCTCCTGTGTCCTCGCAACACCAAAGTATCTCTAAAAGACCAAAAGAATTACAGAGACCTGTTTATGAGAAAGAACTTCTTTTAATATCTTGGAATGCTTGAAAAGGAGAAAACACCTGAATGAGCAACAACAGTCTTTGAGGTCTTCAAAAAGAGAACAGACAAGTACCATCTCTCCTAGGCTGATTTCCACATTCAGATTCCTCAAATCAGGGGACCAGACCAGTTGCATACTAAAGATTTCAGTACATAAATAAATGAAGCCTAAAAATATTCCACTAGGCACACAACGAAGTAAATAATAATCCCTCTTACAAGTGTTCTGATCTACTAATGGGATTCACTGGGAAAGAAAGTGGCCTCTGACTTTCTCGAGGCGTCTTTATGGGAGCTGCACATTATCTACATGAAAGGAAATGTTAATGATTACTTCTGGGCCATAAACATTCAAATCATTACAACTTACTGTTTATCAACAGACTGTGAATCTCACACAACTTGTATCGACAGATTTTACAAAGGACACACCCTGTATGTATGTGAGCTGTAAGGATGGAGACTTCTCACGTAAGAGGTTGTTCGGAATTAGAACTATACATGCTACTGCAATACTACGTAAACGAAAAGACTAGCCATTAATGAATGAGTATGGAGGACATTACCTTCTCTTCTGAAGTAAACACTAAAAATATCAGGTAACTTCTGCATTAAGATCTCTGCCATCTGAAGCGCTCCGACTACTATCTTCAGGTCTTGGCTTGACAGCATGGAAGCAATGTGACTAAAAAAAGAAAGCATTCATATATAAAACATCTGTCTGAATGTGAGAATTATTTTGGGCCATACTACTTTAACTCTGAGAGCAAAACATTTTAATTATGAAAACAGTCCACTACAACGACAAGTTTTTCTTAAACGCTCAACTTTTGCATTTGTTTTAGTCCTTCTCAAAGGTGTGTATGCATATAAAGAGACAAGGGGCTCCAGATACTACAAATAAACTGTTCTGTGCATATTTTTTTCTATGTTGTCACTTTTAAGGTTTCTGAAATTACTTGCAGAGACTTGAATTTCTAAAAAGTCTTCACTATTTTCATGAACACACCTTGAAACAGCATGATTTTTCAGGACATCCTTCAGAAGTTCAGCATCCGCAAAATAAATTATCCTAAGAATTGCTCTAAGGCACTTATGTCTGACCGCAGGTCCTGCCGAGGAACTATACACTTCATAAAGGACACCGAATAACGTCTTAATGAAAGCCTTAGCCAGTTCCGGATCCTCTTTCATAAGCTGTGCTCGAGCATCATCCTTCTTTAACTCGGAATATCCGCCTGTTGTAAAAAAAACGGACAATCCTGAAGTGACAGACCTCAGAAACACAAGGAAGTAAACAACATAAAGCACGCAAGCTGCCGTGATTACCTGAAATGTTATTTTAAAAATTTGGTCATGTAACAAGTCAACTTATCTAATATGACTGACTAGGGTCTACAAAGATGCCAAGAGCAGCGTTTAGACAAAATGTAGCCAGCTCGAAAGAACAAGCCACCAGCACACTGTACCTCTTATTTTAATAATATATACTTAACAAAACACTAAGGATGTTCAGTGTTAGCCACCTAAACCACTGGTAAGAAACAGAGTTCAAGTAATGGACAGAGGGTACGTGACTAGAAGCTACGGAAACACAAGATGATCTGTTGCTTTCCTTAGGGGGAATAAAAGTACAGGGGAAAGGAAACTGATGAAAAGTAAGCTCGAGATGAGGGGCTGGCAAAGTCTGGTCCAAAGGCCCAATGTGGCCCAGCACCTATTTTTGTACAGCAAATCTTACCAGAACATAACCACGTGCGTTTGTTTACATATTGTATATGGCGGCTTTGGAGTCACAACAGCAGTGTTGAGTACCGGGACCGTGCTGTCCAAAAGGTTAAATATTTACTACCTGGCCCTTTCCAGAAAAAGTCTGCTGACCCCTGCATTCTAAACTAGAGCTGCAAAAGCAATAGACGGTATGTATCCCCAAGGACAAAGCTAAATGTCAGAAACCTGAAAAAACAGTCAAATCATCTATTGGTCATTAGTTAAGAAGAGAACGTTCACGGGAAAGTATAATCTATAAGGTTGGAAAAACTAATCTGACAGGTGCAAGTGGATCTAGAGGTAAAAGAGGGAGAACAGGATCAGACAGAAAAACTGCATGGGCCAATTCTCGCTGGAATTCCGGAACACAGCAAACCACACAGCAGAAAAATAATGCGGAGGATACCATTTCGGCAATCCTGGCTTATTCATCAATTAAAACACGATAGAAACAACAAGAAATTAATTACTCCTATGCAGCTGTCTTCAGCTTAATAAAGACACTCAATGAAACAATCACCGCAAATATTATTCACATGACAGTATCGTACTACTATTAACTCGAAAGGTACTTACTAGTGTTAGTATTGGCTAAGGGGTTAGGTTTTCTCTGAATGGCACGTGCTGTTCCCGTGTCCTCATTGATTTGCTGCATAGAATTAAAATCAATAGTATAAACTCGTCCCAGAGTGGACAAGCTTATCTCATCCTCACCGACCTGATGGGCTGCCTGAGAGCAAAGAGAGAGAAACCTTGAATATAAACATGGAGAAATTTATTAACTTAAGACACAGTGGGGGAACCTTCATAAACGCTAACTTACAGATTTATTTGATCAGGTTTCAGATGGTGAAGTCAAAGAATATGGAAAATTTAATAGTGTGGATGTGACAACACTCATTTATTCAATAAATCATTTTTAATTAAACACAAATATACACCACAGGCCCTTTAAGGCCCCTGGAGTCATAAATAAATACAGATAAATTCCTGATGAAAGATCCAGTCATGGAGAATCAGTGACATGAAGATGACACCATTTGTATTAAGGAAGCTTTTAAGACATTGCTGATAGAAAAAAAAAAAATCGTTATCCATAAAATCTTAGTATCTAATTTTTAGGTTAAAATGTTATTTACATCATGGATTCTTAGCAGCCCACCAAAATCTTCTTTAAACAATATGCTCCTATAAAATTACCCTTAGATCAAAAGGCTTTCCATTTACATCATGCTCTAAGATTGAAAGGGACACAACTGGACCTGAGAGAGCAATGCTTAGGCTGTGCATGCAGGCACTGTCCGAAAAGAAAATGACACGCTTTGACACTATGTGCTTGACATAAGACAGCCAAAAGAAGTGACAGAATATTCATTTTTGTAACAGTCCGATGTATGGAATTCCTAGGCTGAGTGGAAGACAGGCCTCCAGGGAAGTATAAGAGAGTAAGCAAACAGGGAAAATGCAATTAATAAGAAAATGCTAAAAGAAGGCGGCTTAGCACTGACCACGTTAGACCATGGCCTGCTTACACACTAAGAGAACACACAGTGGACCCATCACACCTAAAAGCTGACTCAAAACTTGGATATTTTCAGAAGAACTTCTGATTTGGTAACAGTGGTTTCAAAGTTGGTTTTCAAAAATTTGTTTTTAAAAACAGGTAGAAGACATCTTTAAAGAATGTCTCTTCAAGAGTGATGCTCTATAAAGATTCAAACATCACAAGTCAAAATTGGGAAAGATAGTATGACTTAAAGGTATCTCACACACTGAAATTATTAGTAAATGATGCATGGTACCCCAATTAATGCTGTGACCAACAGTTCTTACACAGGGCGATTTTCCGGACCTGAAAATTTTTTGAAATATTCAATGCATACTTAACAAGGAAGTAATGAAAAGAATAAAATCACACAAAAAATCTTCACAGGAAAACACTATTTTTGGTGCACCTCTCTCCTTTGTATTATTCCTTTTTCTATTATTTTGCTGAGTTCCCCCCAAAGAGCCACAAAATTTGATTATTACGTGGTCATTTATCATATCCCATTTTATGTCACTTAAAATTTATCCCAATGGATTACATGAGGCTAGTATGTATCAAAACCTACTTAACCATTTCACCTAGACTTTGATATGTAAGTTGTTTCCATGTTTTCGCTCTTTAGTAAGTGCTGAGAAACAGCGATTTGTATGCAAATCTTTGCTTATGGGAGGTTTTCTTCTGGGTAGGAGACAGAAGGGACTTTTAAACATTTGGCCTAACTCCTCCAATGTTTCCTTTCAGAGATGAGGAAACTATGGAACAAAGAACTTAAATTACTTGCTCCAAGTCAATCTGGTAGTTAGCAGCAGAAGCAGGACTAGAACATCATGTTTTCTGACCTGAACAGAAATGAGGACCTTGTTCTCAGGAGACAAAATGAGAGAATCTTGAGTTAATTCAAAAGCGAGCACATTGAAGTACACACATCCACCTCCCCACTCCATCCCTACACCCACTCTCCACCAAAATAAACATCTTTAAACGGTACGATGAAACTACTACCTCAATGATCCGGCTGTCAATCCTGTTATAGGGATGCCAAAGGCCACGGTCGTCACGCCACTGCCATATCGCACCATCCGTGTTCTGCGCATTTCCCTTCTTCAGCATGGTATCAACTGCAAAAATGCCTTCTTTTGGTAAACATGGCATAAGTTCGCTGAAAACAGAGGTGCAATTATTTTATTAAGTAGCTTCCTGAACTATGAAATGACAGACCTCTAAAGTGAAACACCCACCTATAAACCACAGTTACTACTGGCCCGATCCTTACCAAATCAGAGACGTCAGCTCGTACAGTTCTTGAGGGCTTCGTGGAACAAGATCAATCTGCTCCTGACAACTTCCATTAGAGGCACCGCACAGGAGGAAGTGAAGTGTTTCTGCAATATCTGTAAAACCAACAACAGAAACCAAAAGCTCATGAAAGTTAACGTAATAGGTAATCATTCCCGGGGGGGGGGGGGGGGGCCCAATCAGAATTATTTTCTTAAAGTCAACTATACATGAAAAAAAGTAAAATGAATTATTTTCTTACAAAACAATTACTACAGAAATTACAAGTCCAAATGAGTTATAATGAAAACTTAAAAAGAAATTTATGAAGATTTTAACAATTTCTTTCTAAAGACTTCAGTCTAGCGGTGCCTGGGTGGCTCAGTCAGTTAAGCGGCTAACTTCAGCTCAGTGGGGGTTCGAGCCCCGTGCCGGGCTCCGTGCCGACAGCTCAGAGCCTGGAGCCTGCTTCAGAGTCTGTGTCTCCCTCTCTCTCTGACCCTCCCCGCCTTGTGCTCTGTCTCTCTTTCTCTCAAAAACAAACAAAAAAAAAAAAAAAGAAAAAAGACTTCAGTCTCAAGTCCAGCTGTGCATTTAATCACTAATCCACCCCCAGAGACTTGGGGAATTTTTTAATTTTGTGTTGCATTGAGGAACACAGTGCTTTGTGCAAAGGCACATTCGATGCACATTTTAATCCCCAATTCAAGTATATTCGTGTATTTGTCTTATACTGAAAACCCGGGGTCAAACACGGTAAAACCTGTATGTTACAAGCATCTGAATGTTACCATACTGTGATCAGGAAGTAATTACTTACAAGACAAGCATGCCAACTTAATGCAAAGATCGTTAACATATCCTCTACCCTAAGTTTCCATTCTCAGAAGACATCAGTTTATAGAGTGATCTGCATGAAAACCAGTCTGATGTACAGACGCTGTGACATGAGGAAGCCCCCATTATCCACACAGGTTTAGTCATTCAAATAACTAAAAGTAACAAAGCTAGGTCTTTGTTCGTTGTGGCTGTTTCCGCAAATACCATACTATACTTGTGCAAAATGTAAACGTTTCATTGAAATGTTTTATGTCACGTAAGTTCATAAAAATGTTATCAAAGAAAGTATTCACTACTGATTGGGGCAGAGTGTGGATAGTTAAATTGCTGCCCCACAGAAATTTCACTGACAGTGATTAGAAATATTCTAAATTTCTTGGGGTGCCAGGGTGGCTCAGCAGGTTAAGCATCCAGCGATTGATTTCAGCTCAGGTCATGATCTCACGGTTTGTGAATCTGAGCCCCCACATCGGGCTCTGTGGTGACAGTGCAAAGCGTAGTTAGGATCCTCTCTCTCCCTGTCTCTCTGCCGCTCCTCTGCTTAAAGCTCTCTCTCTCAAGAATAAATATAAATTAAAAAAAATATTTTAAGTTTTTTGAAAAACTACAGTTTTGCCAACTTTCCTAAGAAATGTGAATTCATGGCAATGTTACATTATAAGGACTCCTTAATTTTTTGAGAGATTAAAGGGTGACAAAATTTTTTCCTTTGTGTTGCTGCTGAACAAAGAAAACGAAGGTCTAGTGGCGTCCGCGTGATAAATGTGTGGCAAATTTCATGGAGTATGCAAAAGGTGAAAATATTCATCATGAGGAAAAAAAATTCAACATGGTAAAGCAAACAAGTCAGTGAACAACTTCCCAAACTGGTTTTAGGGAAATGCTGTGCACCACATGGTAACAAGAAATAATCTGTACTCAAACTTCAGGAAAGAGGGGAGATTCAAAGGGCTCCTAGGGATTTTAACAAGCAAAATGCACTGTGATGATTAAAGAAAAAGCTAAACCTTTCCTCAGCTTCTCACTTTGGTTACAACACGAGCTGTGCAGTTTTCTCTGGAATACCAGGTTTGGGAGTGATTCACTGCATTAAGAGGAATCTTTTCAATAGGACACCTCAACAACACCATTTTTCTGCAAAATCCTGGGCCAATGTGCTTACTCACAAGAAATGTGACTAAATATAAAACTGACCCCCCCCCAAAATAGTATTATGTGACATATCTGAGGCAGTGACAACAAAGGCTATTTTGTCAGTGAATACCATCACCGCGGTGATGTCCTCAGAGATTAGAAGCACGAAATTACCCACTATACTACGCACTCCATACAAATGTGACCACTACTCTCCTAGCAATAACCCTAACATACAGATGCTTTCTGAGGCCCACTGTCTTCTGACATTAACCTGGGGAATCGAAGGTTTCTGAGACAGAAGCAATAGCAACACAGGAGTGCAGGGAAACTATATTTATAGATAAGGTTGAGAAAGGTTTAGAAAATACTAAAGCAGCAAAGATGAGAGATTCAACTGTGTAAAGAAGTTCCGAATTTTTGAGGGAGTAAAGCACTGTGAAATCAGATAAGGAAAAACTCTAATGGGGGCAGAAAGGACCACCTAGAAGCGGAAGACAAGCAGTTACTGGTAACATAAAATTCAGAATTCTCCCAATGAAGCGTCACTACATCATTGATATTGTAGAGAAGGCAATGATCTTGCACCTTTAGCCCCTGAATCACCTAGGATAAAATTTTAATATACTACATACCCAAACAATTGTATGTAAGAAGCACTACTATGTTGTTCCCACACAAATTTATTATATAGCAAAACCTTGCTTTGTGAGCATAATTTGTTCCAGAAACATGCTTGTAATCCAAAGCACTTGAATATCAAAGCGAATTTCAAGAACCGTTGGCTTAGCTGTTATCACATGATGTTCGGCGACATGTACTAACTACTTGTACTGCAAGACGTCGCTCATTTATCAAATTAAAATGTTAGAAATGTTTGCTCATCTTGCAGAACACTCGCAGAACGAGTTACTTGCAATCTAAGGATTTGCTGCGTCACGTTAACATTTTTCTTCCTTTACTACCCAGTGTCTGAGCTATTAGCAAGCTCTTCTACTTGCTTATGTTGACTTTACTTAATAAACATTTAAAAAAAAACAAACAAAACAACCACCTCTCTCACCTACAGCAGGATAATAAAGTAGCACTTACTTTGCTTCATAAGTTGAACAGCTAAAGTCGGACAGTTGGAACACATCAGAGAAAACATGCGAACCACCATTATAAACATCCCAGAACTTAAAATTGGTGGGGTCACTACCAGTAGCTGTTGAACATTTGTAAGCAGATCTTTGGAGGCAACCTGCTGGAGTAAATTCTTCACAAACAGAAGGAAAAAAGATACTATTATATTGTGATTCAGCAATTTAACCTTTTCACAAAAATACCACCAAAGACTACATGCTCACCTCCTCATGTTGGAAGTTGTCCACCAGACGTGCAAAACAAAGGCAAGTGCTTTCAACCGACTTTTTGTCCTATTTTTTTAATAAAAGAAAAAAGTTTGTTAATAGAAAACTATCTCATATTATTACCTAATTTTCTTCCTATCCCCAAATTCTTCAAGGCCAGCCCAATTAGATGGGCTCTGAAAACCCAATGAGCCTTTATAATAAGCAAGGTACAATCAGTAACACCATGATTTCAAAGCAAAGAGAATCACACGGAGAGAGCTTCTCTCCTCCGTTAAGGCCCCAAGAGGTAAGAGAAAATATATAGAAAGGAAGGAACAACTTTTGTGCTTCTGCTAACTTAATACCTAAACACAAATTATAATAAAGATACCACTCTAAAAAAGCATTCCCCATAGAAAGGTTTAAAACATATACACTAAAAAGTTGGAAACAGTTCAGTATACAAGCATGAACCAGAGGTTTACTGATGATGTGCGAAACCAGGTGTAGATCTGTTGTATTCACTATGAAAATAATCTAGAAAAACTAGTGCAGTGGCCTCATTCAGAAAACATATGAAATGTCCTTATTAGAATGGGAAGAATAACTTAGCAGCTAAACAAGTGTTTTGATACTGCTACTTTTTCTTCCTATCGATAAAGGGGCTTCAGATATGAAAACCAGACGTGCTTCTATAAAAGAATAACTCTGGTGTTATAGAAGCCCTATGCCCTCACCATCAGTACTTCAGTCTAGACAGAGTGCTACAAATAACAGAGACCAACTATTAAACTTCTCTGATTCTCACACTTTATTTCCAAAGTAAGGTACTGAAATCACAGCCAACCCAAGAATATACTTCTATCCCTGATAAGCACAGGCCATCTCAGCCTAAGTTTTAACATTAAAGAAACAACGAATGGCCCGATTTGTGTCTTGATCATCTTAGAAGCAAAACATCTCAGAGTGACTCAATCATTATTTTATCTATCTTATATAAAGCCCTTATTTAGCATATTCTCTACCTAATTTTCCCAAAAAGATTTTAAACATATTTTGTAAAGGTGACTTAAAAGTCACATTTCCAAAATCATTTTAGCAACAACACTTTAAAAAAATTGGTTTGCAGGGGCGCCTGGGTGGCTCAGTCGGTTGAGCGTCCGACTTCGGCTCAGGTCATGGTCTCGTGGTCTGTGGGTTCGTGCCCTTAGTCGGGCTCTGTGCTGACAGCTCAGAGCCTGGAGCCTGCTTCAGATTCTGTGTCTCGCCCTCTCTCTGCCCCTCCCCTGCTCATGCTCTGTCTCTCTCTGTCAAAAATAAACAAACATTAAAAAGAATTAAAAAAAAAATTGATTTGCATTAAAAAAAATTTTTTTTGATTTCCCCACAATGAAGCTTAACTCATGGTCCTCCACACCAGGGTCTCCTGCTTCTCATCCTCCAGCACCAGGCCCACCACTTCCATCTCCCAAATAATGGCTCCTGCTCTTCCCCAACCTCAGACAGCCACAGTCTGCATTTTTTTTTCCAGTTCATTTCTATTTGGGACACAGTCTCTTCTCACCTCCGATCTGAGCCCATAACTTCCTAGTCTTTCCTGACTAACCCAATGCCTTACAGGCGAGATGATCGTTCCGAAAGGAAACTCTGATTTTATCACACAAGAAACACTCAATGTTTGCTGAAATAACCATTCCATCCCTTAAAGTCAAAATACCTGAAGACATCAAGCATATGAAATGCTGGTCATTTGGGTAAGTCCACCAAATTGTATAACACAACCTAATGTGGTACGTGACTGGAAAGCACAGAGGAAAGAAACATGGATCAGAGTATTTCCAATTTATCTATCCAGTTGGAAGAGTGAAAGCCCTAGATAAAAGTGGCATTTTAAAAGACATAGTAAAAACTTGTTATGACACACAAAACAGATTCATGTTTTACCTGATGGGTTAGCCTTTGGGTGAGCAACGGGAGGGAATCTGCCACAAAATGAAATTCATCCGGCGTGATACTCTGGCAGCAATTGGCGGCGATCGCTAGTGCATTTCTTTGGGCATTTATGCTGAAGAACTCTAGATACAGCAAGCAGTCCGCCAAACCACCCTAAAACACAGGAAACCATTCAAGTGAAGAAATGCCCTCTAACAGCAACTAAACAAACAAACAAACAAAACTACTAAGAAGTCTAACACATCACTTTGGAAACATCATGCGTACCTTACAGAGATTGCAATCTAGGAGCTAGGACAAATGTGGATCTAAGATCCCCCTTGAAACGAAATACAGTCCTTGGGTGGCAACACCTACCGCCTGTAGAATGGCTTTACTGTGTCTGCGTGATAACATCTCCAAGGCGGTCAAGGCCTGCTCTGCCACATCAATACACTGAATAACCTGCAGCTGGGAACATAAAAATAGGTAACTTAAGCCCATCATTCAAGCTCTTGTCTAGTCGCTTATCTTCTACACGAATAAACAGTTATTTTCTCTAATTTCCATCAATCTGTATACTGCCTCTGACATGAAACCCACCATAGAAAACCAGTGATTTACGAGCTTAAGCTATATAACATACAGTCACTATGGTTTCCTTCCGACTACCTTGCTCTGTTTTAGGACACAGAAAAATAGGTTTTCCATAGAGAGTACGCTGAACCCAATGAAAGGACTTGAAATCTTCAGATTTACAATAAATGGGTGGTTTTATGTAACAAATTTTAAAAGTTAGCTTTTACGCTTTATATCCTATTCCAAGGTTATCAGACAATGCAAATTTTATTATGCATTAAAAAAGAAAGAGGCCCTTAAAACAGACCAAAAACACAACCTACCACAGGCCACATGAAAAAATTTCCTTTCTCCACTGACTCACTTTATGACCTTGAACAAGGCACTTTGTCTGTCTCAGCCTTCTCAGCTGTAAAATGAGGGTATAAATAGCTATCAACCTCATTGGGATATTTTCTAGAATGAGATTTTAATTAAGTGCTTGAAGTTCTTCTCTGAAAGATTTTATAGTAATGTGGTAAACTGCTTCCATTAAAAATTATAAAGCTGAAATGATTCTATGAAATGCTTTATTAGCATCAACTTTAAACTACTGGTCTGCTAAACATAAAATATTTTTCTGGAATCTTGGCTAAAAAATATACTTTGACTAGAAAATAGACACTAAAAAAAATGTCCTTTAAGGTGGCCTTACAATGTGATGTACCACTTTAGAATTTAGAAGTCAAGAGTCCTCGACTGGATTCCCCTACACCTGCTACCGAACGAGCTGAGCAAAAGCAGGATTACCTTTTCTAAGAAGACGGGAATTGCATCTACGACAACAGCAGATGACCGAGGAAGTGCTTCCATCATGTATGTTAAGGCTCGACAAGCATGGTTCATCTGGAAAACAAGAAGGCACTTTTACTCCATGAGAACCCAACATTTAAATTTGGGATATTCAAAATATACCATATACTTACAATATCGAAATTATGTTCCATCTGCAGTAATGTTATCTGTTAAAAAAGATAACAAAGTGTTAGAAGCTATCTATATTCTTAGAGGAAAGCCCTAGAAGAACGGTTTCTTCCTCTATGTCAACGGAAATGTAAAGTATTGTTCAAGACTTTTATCATACAAAAATAACATCAAGATAAAACCTAGCACACACACAAGAAATGATTTATATTAAGGATGGCATGACTCACAGACTATAGAGCTCACTTCGGAACTCTGCTAGATGATCATCCCCTTTCATGATCCAGGTCAAAAAGAAAGCTTTCTTGTCACCTATAACCAACTACTCTCGTTACCTCCAGCCCCCCTTCAGAATCCCAGGCATCAATAAATACTTAATACATAAACAAACAATGCACTGATGTTTGTGAACAGCTGTCAGTACAGAGTCAAGGCCAATGCTTCATCTCTTGTAAATAAGCTTCTCTACAAGTTGAACCAAACACCATTTAACTCAGCTGTAATATGCACAGCAGTATAGAATCTAAACACAAAATTGATCACATCAGAAACAAATTATGCACTAATTAAAACCCAAGTTAATGTAATTATTCTACAAATACAGGAGAGAATCTAAATATTTTATTTACTTTCTCTTGTGGAAACGTCCTTAAGCAAATTTCAGCCATGTTTTTCAAAGGTGGGAATACCCCTATACAGAAGTATATATGTATATATGTAAATTGTCTATCCTCCTGAAGCAGCCAAAGCTACCAAAGAAATTTCCTATTTGGGGAAGCAATCTGTCACGGTCTTCTAGTTCTAAATGGAAAAATTTTAATGCGTAGAATTTAAGCTATAAAGTACCTTTTCAATTAAATTATTTAATAATGGACGTGAGATATTCTAACACAATATTCATTTCATAGGAGTGCCTTCTCAGCTTTGAATTATGCTGGGTAAGGTATACACACATACTAAAGGACCTGATAACTTTTTGTTAAAACACACAAACACATACACACATGCCCCATTTTGGGGTTCAGTGGCACTCAAAACCATCCACAATCAGGCATCTAAAACACCCACTGTAAACTGAAAGGGGTTGTTAACGTTAACAAGAAAAGAAACAAGTTCTTCAATTCTTAAGGTAGAATGAACCTTACAGACCATGTTTGGGAAAAACTGCTATAGATTCCTCATCACCAAAAATGACTACAGTCACACAAGTGAATGGTGACGGATGGATATATAATCACAATATTCAATTATGATACAAGATAAATCTGGCCAATTCATTAACAGCAGTCAGTATTAATAGCAAGAGCTGACTTGTGCAGGCCTACTGAGCACTCAAATCTAATCAACAACTAAGAAATTAAGTAAATTACATTATGTGCCAACATCTGTGCCTAGATTTAATAGCCTCTTTACCCGACTAATAAAAACTGCTTTTTAGGTAACATAAGATAAACCTAGCTCTTTGTGGTTATTTTGTAACGAGCGGGGAAATGAGTGGGGTGAGTGTGAATATTAACAGAGGCAAAATGTAAAGACAGAAAAATAAATACTGCTTTCATTACACATTCAGAAACCAACATTCCAGCCTTCAACAGAATGGCACTGGTAATATTTAAATGCTAGTGTCCATTACCCAGAGGTCTGCGTGGCAGAAGGTAAAGAAACCGGCCCATCCTTTATCACCCCTGCCAGAGCAGAGCCACCCAACAAGAACAGACAAAACAAAGACCATGTCACCCTGTGTTTCAATGAGCTCATTCAACTGCCCCCACGATCTGATAATGTGATCAAATGGGGCGATCCCATATCAACCAAATTTCCGTCAACAAGACTTAACATGATACTTATTTTTAACGTCCAAGGTAAAATATGCTGAGTGTGTTCATGATGTTTATGTTAGTCTTTTAGTCGACTTAAATTTTTATTTTCAATTATAGCCAAGTGTTCTCATCTTGAACTCAGAAAACTACCAAGCCACTATTTAAGACTCAGGGGCACATATTTAGTAGCGGCAATTTCTCTTCCTGTTGTTTTCCATTAAAAAGCTTAAGCGATTAAGATGTTAATAAAATTTTAAACATCAACTCACAACCGTGTTGAAAAGTCACCAGAAGATTTTTTTGTTTTGTTTCTTTGATTTTTGCTTAACGTAACACCTAACCTGGAAGGATTCACGTGGTATTCTGGCTTGAATGCTCTGCCATTGCATACAATTATCAAACATGAAACCTTTGTGACCCACAAAGCCAGCCCACAAGCGAGCCGTTTAGTACTGCGTATGTATCACCAGTTTAAAAGAGAAAGCGTGTCAATTTTGGCGCAGTAAGTCTAGGTCCTACCCGATGGGACAAACAACTGGAAATTGAAGACCAGTCATTTACGTATCAAAGATGGGTAACTACTTACAAAGAAGTAGTTTAGCAGATGTACTGATTCATTATTATAATCAGTCACGAGATCTCTAAGCATGAAGCCACAATCCGCTCTTAGTTCTACCGTATTTTAAAATTCACGATGACACTAATCATGCTTTCACGGTAGCATCCAGAGAACAACTAAGGTAGAAAGAGGGGGGAAGTCTCTTACCAAAGCAGGAACGACACTCTTGACGGGAAACCCTCCCAGCGTCTCTTCATTTCCCATGACCAATAACTGACACATTTCGATAACCGCCTGGAGTTGCTGGCTTTCATCACTCGCCTGCAGTCCTTGCAGAAGCTGCTGGGCCTTAGAGCCTTCACAGGAAAGAAAATCGTCATTTTCAAACATGCAAGGAAACGGTTCCTAGGTATAAGGTGGGACTCTACGTGGTAGCTGGCTGCTTGTCTTCTTTGGATCCCCATGAAAGGCTGGATCTATTCCAGCGCTAACACAGGGTGCTGATACTTCAAGGCAGAATTAAAGGAGTTGGATTTAGTCTACCTTAAAGTGATCTCACGGTATTTACAGATTTTTGTCTTTTAATTTTCCTTTTAAAATCAGACAAGCTGACTGGCTCTTACTAGCTGAAACAAAAAAATGGTATCTGTGAGATGAATATAAATTGTTACTTTTAACATGTATTTTTTTATAAAACCTGTTAAGTTTATTTATTTATTTTTAGAGAGAGAGTGAGTGAGCGAGCGAGCAGGGGAGGGGCAGAGAGAAGGAGAGAGAGAGATCCCAAGCCGACTCCGTGCTGTCAGCGCAGCAAGGCCTGACGTGGGCCTTGATCCCACAAACCCCGAGATCATGACCTGAGCCAGAATCAAGAGCCAGACGCTTAACCGAGGGAGCCACCCAGGTGCCCGTGCAATGTCCTGTCTTAAAAGGAAATGCCGCATACCTCCAAAGACCTGGTCAGCATAAATGGAATCCAGGTTAACAGAGGGCAAGAAAATAAAGACAAACGGAGCAATGCATCTAAGGAAAGAGATTGCAGAGAATGAAGTAGTTCTAAAAACAGGAAAAGACTGGGTTTTTCACCTCCTCTCATTCCCAGTGCAGATGCTGCCATCAGAGTGCGAGAGAGTACTTTCACTTTTAAGGCTCAAATCCATTGCCCAAACAACTGAAAAACACTAAGATTCAGCCACCACAGAGAAAGACTTGTCAGTGACCTGGATAACATACTCAAAAATAAAGTGTGTTTCAAATTTTCACGAACATCTTCCTACTTGTGAGCATGGTTAACTCGATTAATGCTAACTAAATTATAACTGATGCTACTTCAGGCCCCTTCTCTTCCTATACCTTTTCAAGTTGTTTGCGTATGGATTTTTTCCACTCCTGTATTATTAATGAAATGGCTTAGAAATGGCACACATTTGGAAACTGTCCAATGAATGTGGAATTCACATGAAAACCAAAGTTTCTTTAAAATTGAATTAAGTTACAGTGATCTTCCTGGATGGCACAGCCTTTCAAAGGGACACATGGTGATCCTTGAAAGATTTATTTTTCTCTATCGTGTAAGACTGTGGCTAGTGAACTGGACAACTATTACTGCCTACATAACTTTAACATAACTAAGAGTCAATCCAACAACAGACCGCAAGAAAGTCAAATTCATATGGCTTGCCATCTTTAAACTTTTCCAAATAACGTCAGTTCCAGTTAGAGCAGGCTAATCGTTTCGTTTCTGAGTTGAAATGTGAAAGGCCAAACAAATGAATGGAAAGTAAACTAATGAAAACGAAAGAATCCTCGGTGGCTTCTAGATTTGCTTTTCAAGGATGAAACAGCTCATAAAAGTACACACTAATAGCACAACCACCTAAAATAGGAAAAACTGACACATGCCACTGGATGCCTTATCAACACAGATGTCTTATCAACACTGGATGTCTAGGACGTAGATGACGTTAGCATGATCAAAATCATCAACAATAACCACTGAACCTTTAGGATGTTCCTAAAAAGACCCTAAACCAAACCAAAAATGACAATAAAAAGCCAAACTATCGTTTATGCTCTGATCAATTTTGGTTTTAGAACCTCTTTGTACTCTTAAAAATTGCTGAAGAGCCCCAAAGCACTCTTGTTTATGTGGTTTATATCTGCTGATATTTATAAATGTGTTTGGAATTAAAAGAGAAAATTTTTAACTATTTGTTAAATCATTACACATTAATATAAACAAAATTTGTGTGAAAACCAGCATACTTTCTAAAACAAAAAAATTCAGAGATGACTACGTTTTCTGTTGCAAATCATTTAAAGGTCAAGATTACAAAAAGAACAAAACAAAAAAAAACTAGCAACAACAACAAAACCAGCGGTATGACCACCTCTGCATCTACTGTCAATCTGTGGCAACACTGTTTGAGATGAAGAATGTGGAGAACACGGGCCCCAGTTTTCACAAAGACTATTAAAAAGACATGTACTTACTGGTAAAGACAATACAGTTAATAACTTTGCTTAGCAAGGGCATCCTCATGTAAAAAAATTGAGTTATTTTACTAGGAGCCTATGGTATTGAAAACTACAGTGACTGTTCGTGCAGTTTGGAGCCACTGCTTTGATTCTTTCAATCAAGCACCAACACTTTTACCTACCACAGCTTTTGCACCATCAACATCAACAAAATTCAAACGTGAAACAAAGTAGAAGAGGCAAAACCTCAGCACTTATTACTAGAGTTCTGGCCTATGGATTCAACGCTAGGGTTTCAGGAACAGCCAGCAATCCACAGACGCACACTTTAAGAACCACCATCACAGATCAGGGTTGGTAGGCAAACATTTTTTTTTTTTTTTTAATTTTCTTTTTTTGAACGTTTATTTATTTTTGGGACAGAGAGAGACAGAGCATGAACGGGGGAGGGGCAGAGAGAGAGGAAGACACAGAATTAGAAATAGGCTCCAGGCTCTGAGCCATCAGCCCAGAGCCTGACGTGGGGCTCGAACTCACGGACCGCGAGATCGTGACCTGGCTGAAGTCGGACGCTTAGCCGACTGCGCCACCCAGGCGCCCCGGCAAACATTTTTTATAAAGAGCCAGATATTAATATTTTCGGCTTTAGAAGCCATAGGGTCTCTGCTGCAACTATTCAACCCGAGCACAAAGGCAAAAACAGACAATACGTAAACAGATAAGCATGGCTGTCTGTATTCCAATAAAACTTGACGTACACTAGAATTTGATTTTCATTGAATTTTCAAGTGTCAGAAGATATTACTTTTGAAAGTTTTTCAGCATTTAAAAATATAAACATCATTTTTATTAGTTCGCAGACTCTATAAAACCAAGCAGGAGGCTGAATTTGGCCACTAGGCAGCAGTTTGCCAACTGCTGATATGGCTGGAGAGAACCCATAGTACTGCTGGGAGTCACAGGAAGCTGATGTTTCCAACTGCATTGGTCCCACCGGACATGTGCTCAGTTCTAGAGCTGTGAAGAGGGCTAGGGATGAATCAGAAGTTTTGGTAAGGCAGAACAAAACCTCGTGCATTCTCATGGTGCTCCAGAAGACAGAGGGAGGAGGCCTGCTTCAAATATGTACAGTCAGTAGGCCCTACCCCCCAAGACATCTACAATATTTCCAAATTGCATAATGAATGAAGTCTCAGTCGACAGAGACCTGCAAGGTTCTCAATCAACACCATGGGAGGGTCACAACATACAAACAGGGATGAGCCAGAGGTGTAACGAGTCATACAAAAATTGCAATTCTAGTCAAAACAAGCTAATGCCCTGAAGGGAACAAACTGATTAGCATCTGACCCTTAATATTTAAATACAGAAAAGGGGAAACCTTTACAGTAGAAAACCTCACTTGGGGTCTCTCCAGTTCTTCTATACAAAACGTCTAGCACATAAATAACTACTAGACACATGAAGAGGCAGGAATAATCAAGAGATAATCAAGAGAGAAAAAAATGGAAACAGACCAACATCATTAGAATTTGAAAAGTTTTTTTTTTTAAAACTTTTTTAATGTTTTAAATTCATTTCTGAGAAAGAGAGACAGAGTATGAGCGGGGGAGAACAGAGAAAGGGAGACACAGAATCTGAAGCAGGCTCCACGCTCTGAGCTGTCGGCACAGAGTATGACATGAGGCTTGAACTCACGAACTGTGAGATCATGACCTGAGCTGCTGTTGGACCCTTAACTGATGAGCCACCCAGGTGCCCCTAATTTGAAAAGTATTTTATGACACACATAACCAAAACTGCAAATATAACCAAAGATGGACAACATGAATAAGAATGTAAAGCATTTAATAGAAAACCAGAATCTACAAAACAAAATCAAGTTATCTGTCCAGAAGTGGAAAGTATCTGAAATTAAAAACTCATTGGTGGGTTTACCAAAAGATTAAAGATTTCAGCAGAAAAAAGAATTAGTGAAATCTGAAAACTGATCGATAGAAAGTTTTCAAACTGGACAAAAGGGAAAAAAAAATAATAAAGTAAAATAGAGCCAGAGAAACATGCTGCATGAAGCCCAAAGTCTGAACATGTATGATCTTGATACTCCCAGAAGGAAAGAAAGAGGAATATATGAAGAGATCATGAGATAAGAGAAGCAGTTATTTTATGAGATAATGGCCAAGAATTTTCCAAACTGATGAAAGGTATCAAACTCACAGCCTCAAATGCTCAGTCAAACCTAAGCAAATTAAAAATAAGTCACTAGGCTGAATACAAACTATTAAGAATTAATGCTAATTTGAAAAAAACAAATCTTAAAAGCCAGAAGAAAAAAGACATTGCCTCGAAAGGGCACCAGTAAGACTTTTAAATAGCAACTATGGAAACCAGAAGACATTACAAAGTGCTAAATGAGAATTTTATAGCTGGGGAAAATATATTTTCAAAATTAAGGCAAATCAAGGATTTCTCAAAAGCAGAGAAAAATCATTACTAGCAGTCATTCACCACATCAAAAAAAGTTCTTCAGGCTGAAGGGAAACTATTCTGATTAGAAGAGAGGAACTGTAGGAGGGAATTAAGAGCACTGAAAATGTATGTGGACAAAGGAATATGGATGATCTACAACAAAAATTAGGTCTTACTGTGTTTACTAACACACGTATAAGCATAACAAATTAAAACAACAGCATAGAGGATGGCAGGAGGTAAAAAGAGCAAAGATGTTGTACTCCTTACATTGTCTGGGATGTGGTAAAGTATTAATATAAGGTTGGCTATAATAAACCAAGGACACGCATTAACACCTCTACAGGAACCACTAACCGAGGTCTACAAGGATATATAACTAAAGGGTTAGAAGAAAAAAAAAAAAAATGACACCACGTTGTTTGTTAAAGAAATACAAAAAGATACAACTTCAAAAAAGGCTGATTTACAATAATCTATCCTAAAGATGACGCAGGAAAAAATACAAAAGCTGTGTTTTACTACTGCAATACAAGGAAGACTGGAAATGACCTGAATGTCCAACAGAGGACATGCTAAATAAACTTCAGCCCCACGGCGGAGCACTATGCAGCAGCTATAGAAAGTGAACCCCAAAATATTGTTAAGAGCAACATAAAGCGTATAAAGTTTACTACTCTTATCTTAAAAAGGCAGCGCGTGTGTGGAATAGATAATATGAATTTGTTTTTGTTTTCTAAAGTAAATAACAGAAGGACAAGCCATAAAATTAACAAAGGTTATTTGTGTGGGAGGAGGAAGCAAGGCAAAGGGAATCGCAAAAGATGATAAGACGTCTCTAAACACACCTTATTTATTAATAATTTGACTTTTTAAAGCATGTGAACATCCCATAAGTATAAAATTGAAGTTAAAACTTAAAAGCAATCTCTAAGAGTTAAAAGCAACACAAAGCAAATGAACCAAACCAATGTGGCAGCCTGAATATAGAAGCAATCATTTCAAATTACTTTGAAATCCAAAAATCTGACCACAAAGTGAGTCCCAACAAACACCATAAGAAAAACCGTTCAAAAATTAAAACATTCTCATTCATATTACTTTTGGTGTTACACTGAAGTTTGTACTGTAGGAGAAAGTAAACAGAGGACTATGATATTATCACTGGGAACTGGAATTTGTGGCATGGGAGGTACACGATAAAGGTAAATAAAAATCTTGCAGCCCTAAAATTTGAATTGGCATTAAAAGTAGGAACTCCTTGGGGTGCCTGGGTGGCGCAGTCGGTTAAGCGTCCGACTTCAGCCAGGTCACGATCTCGCGGTCCGTGAGTTCGAGCCCCGCGTCAGGCTCTGGGCTGATGGCTCAGAGCCTGGAGCCTGTTTCAGATTCTTTGTCTTCCTCTCTCTCTCTGCCCCTCCCCCGTTCATGCTCTGTCTCTCTCTGTCCCAAAAATAAATAAACGTTGAAAAAAAAAATTAAAAAAAAAAAAAAGTAGGAACTCCTTATTTTTATTTTAAAAGATAAAATACAATTATTTTCTAGGTTTGTTCATTACAAGCATCCAATAACAAAGATCACCCAGGTATAAACGAATATACCTAGACTCTAGGCAATGGGCTCTAAATACTATTTCATGTAAAAGAAACCAGGGTGTTCTGAAAAAATCCCTAATTTCAGATATTTGGGGTGGGGGCGGTGCCTGACATATCAGAGAGGAAGGAAATTAACAAAAACTACTGGGATCAAATCAAAAAGATTCAGAAGCCAACCTAAAAAAGATCCCATTGCCCAATGTGACAATTTAATCAGTAAAAATCACAGAAATGTCTAAAAACATGTCTGCACTTGACAGTGATATTTAAAACCACAATGGCACTTTGGAGGAAGCAAAAACCAACTACTTTCCAAACTGGTAAATAAAGGCGAGAAAACCACTTTTCCTGTTACTCTTCTGTGTAGCAGAATAGAAGGGAGATACTCTTAATAGATTTCTACTTAAAAATCACCTCTTTTACTTCTAAAAAATGAAGTCTGGTCATCAGATGTGAGGTACCATCATTTTATACTCCCTGTCATCTAGACACTGAGTTTTGATGGCAGAAGAGACAATCAGACTTTAAGGTACCTCCTGTATTAGAACCCACTACCACTTCAGCAGTCTTTCCCCACCAAGGGACTAAAGAAAGAATCAAACTTGAATCTGAAAAATCCTCTGGATCCAACTGCCAGTTTATAGAGAAACACATTGATGATATTCAACAGATGGAAACTTGACACCCATCAGACGGTAATTATTAAAGGAATCACTAGTTTAATTTTTTGGGTATGATAACGATAATCTGGGGGTGTGTATGTGTGTTTTAAGGGGCATTACCTTGAGCTACATGATAAAATGTTTATAGGTAATATTATATAATGTCTGGGATTCATTTCAAACAATGTGGGAGAAGGGAATGTGGGCAAGGGTAAAGACAAAGTAGGCAGTGCTGAAGCTGGGTCACAGGCCTGGGGGGACAACACTTCTTTCTACTCTGGTTCTAATCTATGGCCCACATTAATTTCATATGCAATGGTCAACCCTTAATATGGGTTTGAGATACTTTACTGTTAATACGCTCAGGCAGCCCTGCAACATGTTTTCTTCCTAGCCTTCTCTAAGAAATAAATGAAGTGGCAAAATAAATGAATCAAATTTCTCTCAAGAGAAAAAAAAAAAAAGAAGACAAAGAAGAAGAACTTAAACACACTAACTGATGGCAATGTACAGACCACATTTTGGTCCTGATTCAAACAAAAATTTTAACTGGATTTCTGAGAGGCCTAGAGCATTTGCACTCTAAACAGGCATTTAATAAAAGTAAGGATTCCTCTTCACAGGACCACAACACGGTCTAAAAACTTTTGTCCTTATAGTTACAAATTCAATGACATGCAAATGAAATGGTGCCTAGGACTGCCTGAAAAAGGATTTGAGAGAAAGGTTGAGGATGTAACTGAAACAACAGTTGCTGTGGACTGATAATTGTTGATGGGTTCATGGTTCATGGAGGTTAGTCTACTACTATACCCTCAACTTTGGGGTGTATTTGATCATTTCTGTAATAAATATGTCCTTCCCCTTTCCTAAGGCCTTCAGTGGTTCCTAAGTACACGTACTGGGTTAAACCCCACACTGGCCCAAGGCCTGCCAAGCCCTACCTGACCTATCAAGTATCTACCCCTCATAGATTTCATCTTTTACAGCTTAACTCGTTCCGCAGGCCCCTCCTGCTATGTCTCCAACATGCCAAGCTAATTCCCACCTCTGGTGGCGCGCTTCATCTCCCCTCAGACCCGTGTGGGGCTGGCTTCCTCACTTAAGGATCCACAAACTCACCCTGCCTCAGAGAAGGTTTCTCTAACCAGCCTACTGATATCCTCTCACCAGCTGACTTACATCCTTGTTTTGTTCTGTTTTCCTTCACTGCACTGATGCTATCTGAAATTTTTCTATAGGACAGCTGTCTTCCTCATTGTCAGGGTCACCCTCTAGCATGGAAGCTCCATATGGGAAAAACTCTGTATATTATCCTGTTTATGATTCAGGACAATCCCAGTACCTTATAAATGACACTAAATCAAAATCCTCACTCAGAAGTTCGTGAGAACTTTGCAAAAGGGCACATTATCTGAGAGCTGAGTGTCAGGGCAGCAAAAGCAAAACCACACCAAACCCAAATACCAGCTGCTTCTTAAATTTCCTGTCAAATGCTAAGGCCAGAAACTTGAAAAGGACTTAAGTATAAATACACACATGTGAGCATATGTCCGCACAGTGCATCAGGTTTAAAAAACAAAAAACACCTTAGAATACTTGATGGAAAATTCTATGAGCACATATTAGTAAGGTCAGAGTTAATAGGTCTCAGTTAACACTTCAGAAATTTTAAATTTTTTTTTTTTCAACGTTTTTATTTATTTGTGGGACAGAGAGAGACAGAGCATGAACGGGGGAGGGGCAGAGAGAGAGGGAGACACAGAATCGGAAACAGGCTCCAGGCTCTGAGCCATCAGCCCAGAGCCCGACACGGGGCTCGAACCCACGGACCGCGAGATCGTGACCTGGATGAAGTCGGATGCTCAACCGACTGCGCCACCCAGGCGCCCCTACACTTCAGAAATTTTAAAGTTAATCAAGACAAGTCTAAAAATAGCCTGCTGATTCTATGGAAAACATTATCAATGGAATTATTAAAAAATGCTTAAATGCAAATTTTGTTTAAGAAAGCTAAAGATAGTATGCTATACCAAAAGAATTTAACTGGATTTGTAATTATGCAAAAGTTATTCTTGTTACAAACTGCCACTTCAAGAGTCACTGTTTTGTCTACCATATATGACAAGATCTCTGGATTATAATATGTTAATTTGATTAAATGAGTCGAGCGACTCATAATTCTGCTGAGAAATCTTTTCTCTAAGGCTCAGCTCTACGACTGACTGTCTCATGGATTAAATTTTATTATGCCACAAAAAAATTCAAGATTCAAACATATGCAAATCATGCAATCAGATGCTATAATATAATCAATGCAATCATTTGAGATTCTTTACTATCCTAGAGTTAAACAAAGATCCAATCTTGCCATAAACTCTGGATGGTTTTCTAATGATTCCAATTCAGTAATCGAAAATAAAAGTACAAGGGGCGCCTGGGTGGCTCAGTCAGTTAAGCGTCCAACATCAGCTCAGGTCATGATCTCACGGTTTGCGGGTTCAAGCCCCACGTCGGGCTCTGTGCTGACAGCTCAAGAGCCTGGAGCCTGCTTCTGATTCTGTATCTCCCTCTCTCTGCCCCTCCCCCGCTCACACTTGTGTGTGCGTGTCTCTCTCTGACAAAAAATAAAAGTACAGAAGAACTTCGAGTTGATGTATTTAAAGGCAAGAATGCGCACAACCCTATTTTTAAAAATAGGTTAATATTCGTGAAAAGCTCCTTCCATGAAAGCCTCTTTACATCAATACATAAACAGTAAAAACAGCACTCAACTATTTATTGAAGGTTTTGGAGGGGGAGGGCAAATTCAAAAGTATTCACTTACTAGCTCCGCTTCCAATTGTTCTATGGAAAAGCTGTGACATCCGAGGACCAAGAGGGCCAAACAGATGAGGGGGAAGACCCCTGGCCTCTAACAAAGCTAAAGAAAAAAGAAAGGCGGGAGGAATAATTGAATTATGAATGCAGTTGATCTTACCTAAAAATTTCAAGCAACTGATTCATCTCACATAACGGATTTAGACAATGTTACTTCCCATTTCTAACTTTAAGAGAAAGTATCTTAAACTTTCAAGATCATTCTTAAATATTAATATATAAGTTACAACACCCATGTGCCTCTCCACGGCATCTTAAGGTTTTATGGAGGTATTAAATATTAGTGCCAGAGGGGACTGTCTCAAATGATCCAAGAAAAACCCAGAGTACATATTTATTTTGAAGAAATTATAGATTAAGTACCCTTGTGTTGTTTTCCCTGTAATATTATCTACCAATCAAACACTGGTCATGAGATCCTCTAAAAACATGAAAAATTATTTTTATAATGTCCGTAAAGAGAAAAAATGGGCTCACAAGACCTCTAGTCAAAAAGAGACTGCTGTAAAAGTTACTTTAGGAACTTAAAAGCGATCTGAAAGTGATTTATAAATAATGTTTCTTATAAGCCTCACACTGGGGTTCTAGCATATAAACCAACTATCTGAAGACAATAAAAATACATACCCATCCACCTGTAGAGAGTGTATACATAATATAAGGTTGCTTCTTCAAAAGCACAACATTAAAATACCTGGTGTTTATGTATACACTTTGCATTCATTTTTAAATGCTGACCAAGAACACAAAAGAACACAAAAAGCACCCCACTGGATGTATTATGTTACCAGGCACCATGCAGCAATATACTCAACTATCCCCTTTTCAAGATCTTTCTTAATTTATTACCAGCTACACAAGCAAACATAATAAAGAACAATTTAAAAACATAAAAAATAAACATATAAGATTTTGTTTAAACAATAAAACTAAAGAGTGAGACAGATCATCTTCCAAATCCAAATCATCACTAAATAAGCAGCTTTTTTTTTTGGGGGGGGGGGGGGGAAGTATAGGCATTGCTAGATTATGTTTAAATGAGCTTATCTGAATTAATTTCAACAAAGCACAGAAGTAACAGGCGGCATCTGGTAATGGCTTCTTGTTTCTTATAAGCTCATTAACCGTCTTTACCTTGTAATCGTCCCATCTCGGAATCATCGGATTCACTCTCCCCAGAGGTGGTCATGCCCACAGCCCCTGCAACAGAACTAGAAGCTTCAAAGGGAGGGAAAAAAGAAGGTGAGGGTTAGGAGAGGAATATTCACACTTATTATGCCTGGTTTATCTTAAAAAAAGAAAAAGAGTTTTACGGACTATAGTGAATCATGGCAATTAAATGTGTCTGCCCAATGCACACTCAACTGTTCTTCTAGATTTCGTCCTGTAGCTTTTATGAACAAGACGGCTCAACTATCTTAGTGTTCAAGAAGCATAAAACTACAACCTTTACATCTCATTCATACACGGCTTTGACAGATTCCTCACGCCTTGTCCTGAACTCGCCTACCAAAAGTCCGCGAAGTTCATACTGCCAAAACCACTGTGGTATTTAACGGCTGGGCAATTAGTCACAAACAGAACAGAAAGCAAAACTGACATTTGGGGGACATGTTCCGTGTAGATGAGTGTCTTCTTCAGTCTAACTTATTTCTGGACTGCAGCCTTGACACAATCCCTTACACGTTTTAAGGATGTGCAGATTACACGCTTATTTCCAGGACCAAATACTGAAGATACACATTAACGAACAGCCCAGCACTGAAATACAAAAGACAGGACAGCTAGGATGTCAGAACAAGTGCAGAAAAACAAGAGCTCAGATTTAGAAGGATTCTACTCCCCAAAAAGCTAACCTGAACAATGATTCGGTCTAAGCAGAGAGGTGGAGTCTGTTACGAACCTGCCCTGATGAAACACTATAGTCCTGTAAAACCAGCGGTTGTTCTGTTCCTCCTCTCCATGTCCACTGAGTCTTTAAGCAGTTTTTCTACACAATTAACCCATGTTATGACCGCATTATCCACAATACCCTAAGCCCTGCACACTTGCCAGATGACGACAGGTCAGCCCAAAACAATGTTGCTGATTGTTAAAAGAAGCACAGAGATAACATGTGAATTTACAGAGCTTTTCTGAAAAGATGCTAACATACCAGCCACCAACTGTGTATTTTCTTAGTAGTTTTCTTCACACCTCATTAAGTATCTTCTATGATTTCACTGGGATTTTTAGAAAATTCATCAAAAAATGGGTGATTTAAGAACAAGAGTTCTCAAACTGCGGCCCACGGGCCAAATTTGATCCAGCACATCATTCCGTCAATAAAATTTTATTAAAACACAACCAAACTCATTCTTTAACAAGTTGCCTGTGTCTGCTTTCAGTCTACAACCACAGAGCTGGGTAGTTCCAACAGGGCTGATATAAAGCCTAAAATATCAACTGTCTGGCCCTTCACCAGAAAGGTTAGCAACCCCATGGTTTATAGTTACAGGCGAACCAGAAACGCTAATATAAAAGTGTATCAGAGCTTGACAAAATGCATACTTTGGATGAAGAAAAGAGTAATGACACTCTCTAATGCCACCTACACATGGCATGTATAAAATGCTCACCATACGCAGGCTGTTTCTGTTTCCTCACAACCATACAAGCAGGTATTGTGAGCTTTTTCACACATGTGAGCAAACTAAGGCCTTGTAACTTGGAGTGCACTTGCCCGAGGTCAGATAGCTAACGATGGAGCACAGATGAGAGCACAAGTGGTCTGACTCTTCATAGGCTGTTCTCAAGTACTGCATTCTATTGCCCCCCTGAATATATTCTGCAGTACTGATTTTTTTATTCCAGTACAGCTGCTTCTTCATATTCAACAGAAATCTTGTTAACAAATACTGTTATTATATTTTTTTGATTTTTTTAAATGTTTCTTTATTTTTGAGAGAGAGAGAGAGAGAGAGAGACAGAGAGAGACAGAGACAGAGTATAAGCAGAAGAGGAGCAGAGAGAAGGAGACACAGATCTGAAGCAGGCTCCGGGCTCTGAGCTGTCAATACGGAGCCTGGTGTGGGGCTCGAACTCATGAACTGTGACATCGTGGCCTGAGCCGAAGTCGGGACGCTTAACTGACTGAGCCACCCAGGCGCCCCAACAAATACTGTTAGTAAGGTCCCAATTATGACTTCATTTGTTAAAGTGACTCTTATGCTTGCTTTTAAACTTTTCCAAGTATGTGGAGAGCAAACAAAAAGCTTTGACAAATGAGGTAGATTTTTTTTTTAATTTTTTTTTAATGTTTATTTTTGAGACAGAGAGAGACAGAGCATGAACGGGGGAGGGTCAGAGAGAGAGGGAGACACAGACCCTGAAACAGGCTTCAGGCTCCGAGCGGTCAGCACAGAGCCCAACGCAGGGCTCGAACTCACAGACCGCAAGCTCATGACCTGAGCCAAAGTCGGACGCTTAACGGACTGAGCCACTCAGGCGCCCCATGAGGTAGATTTTTTTAATGTACATTCTGGTACCACACCTTTAAGGAAAAAAAAACCCCAAAAATTCACTTGGGAAGGTAATGCTGTTTTTTTTAGTTTCTGTATTAGAGGGTCACCATAAGAAGAGGCAAGTATATTCTGATTTTTCATGGAAGTGGAGGGCCTGTTTTAACAGAAACCAGTCACTGAACCCAAAGGAAAAAAGATCCTTCGCCAGCCCACTGAAGGCAAGTATCAAGCATTAAGGTACTAAAGTGCCCTGTGAGAATCACAAAGTTAGAAAACCAGTCTGTGAGTAGCGGGTCTGTCAAGTCATGCAGGCAAGGAAGTGTCATCAACCAACAGTCAATGACAAAGTTCTTTAGTCGAGGCGACAAACCTCCTTGGGCAACATGCACAAGATCTCTCCTGATACAAATATAAAAACAAGACCATCAAGCAGAGAAAATGTGATGTCAGATTGTAAGAGGTGTCCATCTTTTTTTGCTGATGTTTACACCAGTTATCTCCCCCATCTACTCTTATCTCTCCCATCTTCACAGCACCTCGAAAGACAGTTTCTAATACACAGCTGAATGAAAACAATAGAAAAAATATTGTTTAAATTAGAACACAAGAAATTTATCCCAGAACCCCATGTTTTTACACTTTAACTGATAAAGCCTCTTATGCAGAAAGAAGTGATAAAATATTAGAAAGCTGACAGAGTTCAATTTTACTGGACAGGAACTTCCAAGGGTTCACCAGATACCTAAGTACAAGAAGCAACGGGAAGATGTTTTTCTGGAGTGTAATGAAAACTTTTGAGGAGAACCAAAACAGTCACTGTCGGTAATGTAATTCTGCCTTATTATAGGCCCTGGTATCAGGTGATACGGAAGCAATCTAACTTTTAGTGATTCTAAACAAAATTAGGAAGATAAAAACTTAAAAAACTGTGTTGCTTTCTTTTTACAAAATGATCCTGTTTATTTCTTGTGAAATTAAGATTCTCAATGCAAAATCGGGTGCCAGGACATGGGCTATTTTTCCTTGCCATCTGATTGCTTTGCAGGTGTAAGGAAGAATATTTCTCACTGTGGTGTCTCTAGTATTTGCAAGACTTCACCAGCACTATGAAAAGGTACACAGTTCTGATAAAGTCAAAAACGAGACCCCCCCAACTCGTGGGCAAGCATGGAGAACACTTAACTTTCAACTCCAAGAGCTGGCATCTCTTCCACAAAGAGCCAAGAAGTTGTGCTCCATAGAACATTATGTTTCAAGGTGACCGAGCAGGCACACTGTTGTCAACAAATGTTCTTAAGAGTCAACAACACTGGCAAAGTCAGGGTGATATGAACAAGTTCGCCCAAGATGAAGCAACGTTTTCTTACTACACATGTAAAAAGAAGTAAGTTTATTTTACTGATTTCATTAAAATAGATCAGAAAGATGGGATCTCTATAAATAAGTAACACTGGGGATAAAAAACCACACCAAAAACACTGAAGAGATTAAACCAATCTCCTTAAATGAGTAAAAACATTATTTCAAAATAAATGTTTCCAATAAACGGCGTCTTCTACCAACTGTCTAAGAGCTTCCTGATAACGGATGCTTCGCGAAAGATGCTCTACATTACCACCATGGATTTATATTCCGCGCTAACTTAGAGGGTTTTATTTTTCCTTGAATTCCAATTTTGCATACTGAGAAACTAAAGCACATTGCACTGAAGACTTAAAGCTAATAAGGAATCTGCCTCTTTCCGCAGCACTACTGTAGTGAGCTGGCAGAGAAAGTATTCCTGCAGGATCCATAAGGCATCCTGCTTCCAAAATAAAATTAACTAGTGCTGCTCAGACACCAGTCAGCGTGCCACATGCATCTTTTACAGAAACTTGGAAAACACCTAGATCACACTGTGATTCCAAGTAAGAACGACAATGAACACAAGCCTTCGGGGGGCAGTCGTACCCACCTAATCCCTTGAAGGTTTTATCCTCTTAGGTATACATGCCAGGGATCAAAGTTTTACACACCACCTCCTCACTCTGGCCTCCAATTATATCCGTACGGATTAAACAAACTCTCGTGACTATGGGGGAAGCAGAATGATACAGCCTTTATAAATGCACCCTTATTTTTGAAAACCTGGATTTGGGAGCCCCACACCTCCAGGCAAGCTCAACTATCATGTGTCTCAGTTTTTCCTCATTTCCAAAATTAGGGTAACAGCACTCACACCTCAGCATACTGTTTTGAATATTAAAAGAGAATATACATGGAGCTCTCAATACCCTGTCTGCAGCAGCCTACAACTTTATAAACGCTGGCTACGGTAATTCCTGTAACGAGTCCACTTTAACACCACGCTCAGCAGCGCCATTTGTGTTGTCCGCACGGGAACTGCCCCACTTCCATATGCAGATGCGAAATAAACACTAAGACATTGGGAAGCACAGCCCGTGTGGCATGAAGAGTTTCAACGAGTTGTACTACAATGGACTGGACTTTCCCTCAAATTTAAACTTTCAGAAAAACTAGTCTGAAGAAAAGCATGTGAGAAAAGTCCCCTCCTACCAGAAGAAGTGCTTCAAGTTCACGGTTCCGTTTATCATACAAAAGCAAGAAAGACAGTGGCAAAAACGTTAAGGTGGACAGAAAGCGGAGACAAAAAGCACAAACCATGAATAGCTGCGGGCAAACCCGAAGCTTCCTGGCAAACTAGGACACAGGCTCCACCACAGGGATGAGAGAGAACTAGCACATATACTAACGTTACAGTAAGTGGAAGAGCTCTGTTAAAGTCAGTCCTTACCTAAACCTAAGCCCATGTGTATCATTCGGACATAAGGGACTCATCATACCCAAGTTCATAATGATAGACTGCGACATTTTTCCATCTGTACTTACCGTTAGTGAAAAATGCTCACAGCAAGCTACATTTTACAACCGTCATCCACAATTAACCTCTGAATTATTAGTCTCTTATTCGTATTGGTGATCAATACATATTTAAAGCTGAAAGGGGTGGGGGGCAGCCTAATTTTTGTTGTGCTGAGGTATCAAGAAGAATAAAAATAAGCCCATAAAAACATAAATAGCATTCTTCAAGTTCCTTCCAAACTGAATACTTCTTACTTTTTAGAGGCTACAACATATTCTACATCAAAATTTACACATATACGAAGAAGCAATTTAAGCCACATCCTTACATTCTGATTATAAACTCAAATTTTCACACAAACAATGGGCAACTACTGTATGTCCGCATGGACAGTGAAGAATCTTAAACAGAGAGTGACTTATCTTACCTAAAAACCTTTTGAATGTAATCATCACAAACTTGGATTTGGAAAAGAATTAAAACAAAAACAAACGAACAAACCAAAAAACCAATGAATCCGACTAATCAAAAAAACCCAAACCTATAAAGTAAAGCCAAAGAGAACCAAAAGCTTATTTGATGGTAACATCAAGTATATTTCTGTCCCCTCTCTTGCATTATATTTGGTACGCCTACAAAGCAGTTGCTCTCTAAATAAATCTGTAAGACACATAAACGCATCTCGGGGCTAGAAGTGCCAATCTACCTGCAGCTCCCTGGGGGGTTTCGTCTGTCCGTGCAGCTGAAGAATTTACTGTCTCCTGGTTGCTTTCAGGGTCCGCCATTTTCTCCTGTCGACGAGCTTCAGCTGCTCCTCGTTTGCCCAGGCCAGAGCCCCGCCGACTGCAACAGAAAGATGCCATCATAGGCGGCACTACCAGTGACCAGGAGCAATGTCCACACAGCACAAAGCTCCAATGCATGGAGCACAAAGCCAGTTTCTTCTTTTTACATAAAAATTGTTGCAGAAAATCACTATGGGTAACAACCAGGACTTTGTATATTTAAAATTCTTCCAAGTTACGTCGCATTCACAATACACGCTTTTGTGTCGCTATGAGCTGTGGTCATCTTTACAGACAAAAATGATTTTTAAACACTTCAACCAAATGGAAAAGTGACTCCTGCTGAGAGAATTCAACCATTTGAAATAGATCCCTACTTCCAGGCTAAATAGTGGATCAATATACAGACTTTACACTTGACAATGAGGGGGAAGGAAAGTGGAAGACAAAAAGGTCGGGGCTGGGGGTGGGGGGAGGGTAGGGATTCCCATCACTAAGTTCCAGACAACTTTAATCATCAACAAAAAATAACTATCCCAATAATGTGCAAGAGTTCCATCTTTTAAAATAAGGATTAAAGGGGCGCCTGGGTGGTTCAGTCAGTTAAGCGTCTGACTTCAGCTCAGGTCATGATCTCGTGGTCAGCGAGTTCGAGCCCCGCATCAGGCCCTGTGCTGACAGATCAGAGCCTGGAGCCTGCTTCCGATTCTGTGTCTCGCTCTCTCTCTGCCTCTCTCAAAAATGAATAAATGTTCGAAGGAAGGAAGGAAGGAAGGAAGGAAGGAAGGAAGGAAGGAAGGAA